CATTACAAAAACAGTAAGAAGAGGAATGATTCGGATGGGCTTTTCCATGACACGTCCTTTATTTCTTTTTTTCTTCCTTTTATTTCAAATTCAAGTCAATATTAACTACTGCTGCTGATGCTGTATACTTTATTTTATTTATAAATTCCATTCACATTTGTTACTCCTCAAAATTTTTGCTCATTTCTGACCCATATGGATGTTAAAAATGACAATAATAATTTTTATACTGCAAGTCATAACTTTTTATTCATTCTGTGCCGATTCTAGTTTTCCTCTTTCTTGGGTATTTTTGATTAATTGACTTTGAATGTGAAATTTTCATTTTTGAAATTTTTCAATGATTTTTTTTTTGTTTGAGGATCCTTTGAGAAATTGATTGAGGAAATTTTCAGTGGTTTTTTGATTTTAAAAGTCTATGGTTTGGTTTAAGGAGGTTCCAGGTAAGTATTAAAAGCTTTAGTTCTTTTGGTTAAGGTTTGGTGATTGGTTATGTTTATATTATTATTATTATTATTATTATTATTATTATTATTATTATTATTATTATTATTATTATTATTATTATTTATTGCTTTCGTTTTTCTTTCTTTTCACACAGAGGAAAAGCCTCCTTAAACTATTTAAAGCGGCATAAAAACCTCTGCATTAACATACAATAAAATAAAATATAAAAGAAGTTTCAATGTAACAGGTACCTTAAAGAAACTTAAAAATCAAACATACAGATATTTTCTATTTTAAGTTGTTTAAATGTCCTCTTTGTTAACAATGACTTAAATAGCAACTTCTAGACGAAGTTACATTTTATTTAAACCATTTTTATCAGTTCTAAGGTTGAGTGCCTTGTGTTGCACTAGAAACTTAAAACTTAACAAATTGTCAGCATGTTCTCTAGCAGAAATTTACTAGTAATTTCCTAGTAATTTACTGTATAACTTTCCATTTGCTACTTGCTATTTACTAGTCAAATCGCTTACAATTTAACTAGTAATTTACTAGCAAATTTGTAAAAAATTTAAATAAATATAACCGTTGATTTCCACGTGTTTTTTTGATTTTTCTTATTTTTGTAAATTATTGTAAAAGTATTAGTGTGTACTTATTTAAAGTTAATTAAAGTACACTAATACTATGAAAAAAAATAAAAGAATTAATTTAAATAATAAGACAAATTTGGATCGACCTTATAAAGGTGATTTCTGCGCGCTCTTGTGAAGTATATAGCAAATGCCAAATTTAGAACAAAATTTTTTATGACGCAAAAAATTCTTTTTTTGATGATTTTTTGTAAGATTCGAACTTAAGCAGATTTGATCAAACATTTTACATGGTAATTTGCTAGTAAATAGCAAGTGTAATTTATTTTTCAAGTTTTGACTTAAGTTTGTACTGTATTGCAAAATCAAGTCCTCCGTCTTCTTACCTACATCCCTACACCCTCTTCAAGTTCATAACATTTTATTTCAAACCTTCTTCTTCTCCAATTATTTCCCAATGATTTCATTCATTGCATTGACGCTCAATCGCAAAAAACTGTCTCCATTTTTCATTTTGTGACTTATCAGCACATTCTTTTGTAATTTAATTTTGTTTCTTTTATCATAAAAAAAAAAACAAGACAACGCACACACTGGCATATTGCTTCACAAAAAAAAACTGTATATCTTTTTCTCATTTCTATTGTCGTCATCGTGCAATTTTTGAAATGCGACAGCAATCATATGACACAAATCATGATAGCTGTCCGGTGATCAGTCATATAAAAAATTGTATTTTTTTTCCTGTTCATATTTGAGTGCATTTTAATTGACATTTGCATTATTTGGAATCAACCAGTGAGTAAAGATTTTAATTAAATCATTTAAGGCTTACATCTCCGCCTATTTCTTCCACGCTCGTGGTTTCAAATCAATTCCTCTTGTATGGTTGAATTTGATGAATGAATTAGGTTCATGATACATTACATCAAATGGGTAGTTTATGGTACACGTGTCGCCGGTTAAACTGTCACTAAATTTTATTTTTTTTTGTTTCCTTTCTCAAACTTCCTCCTTAACCAATTTTACAGTTGAAATGTTTATTTAAAAATTATATTATTAAAGGAGAAGTGAAACTGGTGCAATCATGTCACGTGACACAATGTGAAAAAATAAAATTTTTCTTATTTTTGCCAATATTGGTAGGCGCGTACGGGTGCATAAATTTCTCAGCACGAAATCAAAATTAGAAAGCAAATAAAAATGTGTGAGATCACGTGTCAGGAGGCTTATTTATGTTTGATTAAAATGTAATTCAAAGTGCATCAGTCTTCTCTCCTTACTCACTCGGTGGTATGTGTTATTGTTGTGTGATGACGATGCTGATGAGGAAAGGAATATGGCAAGTTGGAAAATTTGATTTTTGAAAGGGTTTTAGGTTTGAACGCAGAGTTTTATACTGGATTTGGATCTGTTTAGGGGCCGCTCACTTATTACGTTACGCAAAAAAGCGACTTTTTTCACCCCCCCCTCCCCCTTATTACAATATGTTACAACTCACAACCCCCCCTCTTAACGTTCATAATTTATTTTGTTTTGATAATTTTTCATAAATCATTAAAAAGATGTAAAATTTTAAAAAAATGTTTTTGTTGTGAATTTGTAAACAAATATTTAAAAGACAGACGACAGCACCCCTTCTTGACACCCCCCCCCCCCCCCCTACATATTGTTACAATTTTTCAACCCCTCCCCTCCCCCCTAAAATGCGAACGTAATAAGTGAACGGCCCCTTAGTTGTAGATTGGAATCTTTGGTATAGAGTGAATCTGTTAGTGTTCTAGGAAAGCCTCTTTGTTCGAATAGCTTAGTCAATAGACCTTCAATTTTAAACCTTCTCTTTAGCAAGGCATGGGTTCGATTCTCAAAGAAAGATGATAGACATTCTTAGTAATCGAACCATATTAAGTTAACTAAGGTATTCTACATGCTGAACTCCGTGCTATTACTGTTTGTCTTCTGGTTTAATCTAATTTTGGATAATATGTTGCCAATATCATTGAAAAATAGAATTAAGGCTCAGATTAGCAGTCGCACGAAATCAAATCCATCTGCTTGCTACAATATACACCTATTATGTTCCTGATTGTCCATAAAAGAAACAAAAAATTCATAAACTACACTTTAACCTAATAAAGCTATTTAACCCGAGCATATCTACCCAAAACAAAATATTCATTCATAACTTAGTCCATTTTATGTAAAGGATCATTGCCCAAAACCATTCCATTCAATAAAAATTAAATAAAACAAGCAAAATGCAGTCTGACAAATTACAGACAATAAATTGTCGTCCCAAATTTACGACACAACTAAAAAAGAAATCACAAATTCCATAAATATTTGATTTGATGTGCAAAATTTTACGGAAAATTGAATGTGAAATTGAAGCTCAATGTACACACAGAGCAACAGAGAAAGAAGGACATAAAATAAAATAAAAAAAAAGGGGAAAAAGTAGAATCGCATGAGAGAATGAGAATTTAACTAAGTAGAATTATTCGGATCGGATATATAAAAAGGGGATATTTACAATTATTATTTCCTACATGGTTGGTGTCCTGCATACATTGTTCTACTAAAATGAGGGATTTTATGTGTTTTTAACATTTTCCGCACTCATCAAACAGTTAAATAAATAAATGTCATCCGTAAACGCGTACTTTTTTTGTTTCATTTTAACGATGTCATGCGTTGATGCTGCTGTTATTTTAAAAAATAAAAAAATTCCTCTTCCTTAGTTTTTAAAGGAAATCCATCAGCAAACAAAAACAATGCGATGAAAAATGCGCTTTTATAATTGAATATGAATAAAAAAAAATGAAAGAATAATTTCATGCCAATGAATTGAAACAACGTCAACAGTATGCGGTTAAATGTGAAAAGCTTTTAAAAGGTTTTAAAATCCCATCAGAGAGTGTACGTATATAGCTAACTGCTTGTTGTTTTAAAAAAAATTATATACACAGCAGAAATTGCTTTCCACGTTTTTTTATTTCTCGCTTTTGAGAATGGAAGAAGAATTAGAAGACTAAAATCACTTGGATATTCTTTTTTCCGTGACTAAAGTGCAGTTTTGTCAATTTTCTTCTTTTTTCATTGATTTAAGGTTTATGGGGATTGAAGGTAGGCAGAAAAGTTTCTGGAAATCTTTAATTTTTTTGTTTAAATTTTGTGGTTTGAAACTTTTGGCAAAGTGCATAGCTCGAGATTGTTAAGAATTTTTGATTGAAGCTAGCTTGCCTTGAAATGAGTTTTTTATTCAAAGGACGATAAAAATTAAACTAGCGTTGGTTCAATTCCATCAAAAACTATATCAGTATCAACATTAGAAATAGATCTTCGTCATTCTTCTTGTAGTACCTAAGAGCAAGCTTAGTTGGCTCACAAATTGACTGCTAGGGTCCATACTAAAGTAAAACACAATATTTAACTAGATTTTAGTAAAAATTTCTCTAAAAAATTTATTAAATGCCTTAATAATTATACAATACACAAATACCATACGGACAAATATAAAGTGTGCATAAATATGATGAAAAATCACATATCATATTCTTCTTTAATAATAAGTATAGATAAAAAAATTTATAGATCAGTGTATTTCTAGTTTTGTGAATGCAGTGAATATTAAGGATGAATATTAAAAATTGTGGAATAATCAAAAAATCAAATTCTTGCTTTACACGAATTTGATTTTCATAATTTTATCTCACTCTGAATAAAGGAATATTATAATATTCAATGTTAAGGTATCCAGCATTCAGTATTCAACAAAAATCTAATAATAATGAATACAACTGCATACAAAAGGGGCCGTTCACTTATGACGTCCGACATTTAGTAGAGGAGGGGGGTCTAGGATTTTGTGATAGTTCAAACAATGAAATTTTTTTCTATAGAATTTTTGTGACAGAGGGGGGAGGGGGTCTAAAAATCAGGTTTTTTGATGGACGTCATAAGTGAACAACCCCAATAGTAAAAACACACTGTTATAGAGCTAATGTACTGGAATGCATCATTGTGGACTTCATCTTCCACTTTATAATCTCACTTCTTACTCCGTTGAGTCTTCAAGTTCAGAACTTCCTCAACAAAACATTCTAATGACAACTGATGGACTGACATAACATTTCAATGCTTCTTAATTCAAACATCCATCAGTCAAAAAAATAATGAGAATAATAAATGCATGTGAAAAAATTAATCTATTCTCTCTTCGTAATTTTAACCCTAAGTCCATCTTTTGGACGCAGAATGAGTTCACCCATTAATGTCAAATCTTCTCGTCTGTCGACTGCCTCTATTCTATACTTCCTTAAAACTGCTGAAATAATTGCTTTCTCCTCAAGAATTGCAAACTTTTGACCAATACAATTACGTGGACCTGCTGAAAATGGAATGTAGGCAAAGGGATGTCTACCGACGCAATTTTCTGGCAGGAAACGGTCTGGATCAAAGCGATCTGGATTTTTGTAAATTTCTGGACGTCGATGGAGCATGTATGTGACTATTAAAGCTGTTGTGCCTATAAAAAATGGAAATTAAATTTAACTGAGCAATGAGAAAAGGAATCAATTGAATAAGTTTGAAGGATGCACAAGTGCAATAGGATGTGAAATGAATCTAGATGCAAGCATAAAATCCGCAATCCACAACACTAGTTCTTCCTATCTGTTCTATGAATCATGATTAAAAATCACCAAAAGTTCATAAATGACATCCAAATATTTACTAGGAAGTGAGACACCTTTGAAACTGTCTCATTATTCACAACTCAATTGGAACCAATATCTATTTTCTGCTAATCATATTATGGACAGTATTTGAATAATATATTATCGAGTATTTACTAAACGAAATTTAAAAACAGATTTTTCTGATTTTTCTTCTGTCGATTCATAAAATGTGCTAAAAAAGCTAGGAAGTTTACTAATGCTCTTGTGGATATCTTCTTAAAAGATTAGCAAATTCACATTTGTAGTTCCACTTACCAGCAGGAACGATGTAGTTATCTGTCGATTAGAAAAAATTAAGTTAAAATATATTTCTTTATATAATTTAATTAACTATTTGGCTCAAATTAATTATCACAGACGTACTTTGAAATAGTTTTGTAGGCACGTGTAATCCAAATTGTTAATTAAAAAATATCTCACCTATTTTAATATCTTCTTTCAAATGTCTGCCAATCATTGGAACCTGAAAAAATATTTCAATCATTATCAAATGTCAGATGCTACAAAAAGCTTGCTTAACTTACACTTGGATATAGTCTTAATGCTTCTTTAATACAACATTCCAAATATTTCATATCATGTAGTTCACTCATAGTCGGTGCACGATCTCTATCGCCGCACATTATCGTGTCAATTTCGTGGAAAACTCTTTCTTGAATTTTTGGATTGCCTCCTAATAAAAGTAAGCTCCACGAGACAGCAGCCGATGTTGTGTCGTGACCTTCAAACATCTTTAAAATAAAAAAAAAGATGATTTGTGAATTGAGTTGCTAATTGGACGTGCTAATCAGCTTACAAAAGTATCAACTTCCTCACGTATATCTTCGTCTGTCAAATGTGCACCTTTTTGAGCATCTGAGGCTGTTATCAATAAATCTAAGAATGCAAGACGCTTCTTCTTGCCAAAGTTATCGTCCTCAATGTATAGCTTGTCAACATGATTGCCATTTTGATCGATTTTTGTGTTGTTGTTGTTGTTATTTTTGCTGACAAAGTTGTTGTTGTTGTTCATTCGTTCAGATCTGATCATGTCTCGCTTTTCCCTAATTACCTTGTAGCTGAATCCATGCAATATTTTAATACACTCTTGATGTCTGTGATAATCAGATGTTAGACGGAAAATTGTGTCTGAATGAAGCCAGAATTTTGTTTGACGGTTTAGGATGATTGAGCCAATTCTAAAAAGTTATTGAAGTTATTTAAGGTGTGTTGGTAGCAAAAGGTTGGAAACTTACTCATAAACTGCTTTTACATATTCCGAGTCTTTGTCTCCTTGCGCATTTACATGCTGTCCCATTGCCGTTTCTATAAAAAAGAAAATGAGATATTAATCAAATGCTGCAGGAAGCGGGCTTTAATAAGTTTAGATCATGGATATTGCCAAAAAACAGTCTTCAAGGTTCATTCCGTGAAAAGACATGTCTAATGGTCATAAATTTGAAAGATAACTTTTCTGATATCAATCCAGTTATAAAGCAACACATGTGATTCGCAAAAAAATGAAGGTTTTCAGGATTTGATTAGAACAAGTCTTGATTTAAACAAGATTCTGGTCTGAAGAATCGAAACATCGCAAAAAATTTGCATAATTAATCACTGTAAAGCTGAGTTTGTCTACACATTGCGCAGGTGTTGCAAAATCATTCTTTCTACAGTGACTGTTTTTGTTGACTAGCTTAGGATTTTCTTGCGGCAGTACAGTGCTCCGTGGAGCATGATTCGAGAACTTCTGAATCAAATAGTCATTAAAACTTATGACCACCTCATCATTAACTCTAGACTCGTACGTAAACCTAAGTTACCAAAATATTTATATCAAGCCATACTCACCACAAACAATATCCAACGTGCACAGCGTCACATATGGAAAAACATTAAATGAGTCCCGATCAATCTCCTTTTCCAATTTCTTGACTAACACTGAACTTTGTTCATTGAAAATATCCATAAAATCCTCTAAAATCTTAAAGTGGAAAGCTGGTGTCAAAATCTATGATAGAAATAAGAAGCAAAATGTCAATGTAAAGAAAAATATGTTGGATTTATGTTGGATTTACCTTTCGTCTGGAATGCCATTTTTGTCCGAAGCTCGTTAAAAGTCCTGTACCCAACCAAGGTTGTAGATAAGTGTAATCATCACTTTTGTCGATGTGCTTTGGACTGCTCAAAATTGGCTAGAAAATGTCGAGCAAATAAAAAGTGTCAGTTTTGTGATCATGAAAAAAGAATTTCTAGGCTGAATATTTAAAAGAAATGGGAAGTGGAAGATGTTAATGAATTGATATGCACATGATGTGCTCTACATGATGTTTCTAGACGAAAATATTGACAATTGATTTGCTTTGATTTCGTACTTTTATGTACGTGATCAAAAATGCCGGCAACTAGTTGTTACTTCCACTGTCTTCTGCATAAAAGCATTTATGAAAATTCCATTTTTGAATGACAATGAGATTCTATGCTCAATGTGCCAAAACTCACGAGATTATTCTTCTTAATGGAATTTTTATAGACACATGAAATCAAGCGATCGTCAAAATTCACAAACTTGTTTTGAAGGCACTATGACGAGCTTATTTATCATCATCAAAATAAAGTTTTGTTAAAAGTCCACAATGATCATGCAAAAAAGAGTTTTAGGAAACAACATAGAATGATAATTTATCAAAGTAGCCAACGAAATTCAAAATTTGAAATAAAGTTTAAAACAATTGTTTGACGAATCAAGATTAAGTTCCATATCAAATTTCACAACAAACGTAAGTTACAATCCACAATATTATTTCCACGTACGCAATAAAACATAGAACAATAGGAAAATATCACTCATCCATTAATTTAAATAGTAATCACATTTTGCATATCAAATGCTCGTCTACTTACTTTAGAGATAAAATTTGAATCCAAATAAGAAACTTTGAAGAAGATTGTCATTGAATTAAATTATCCTAAATGATTTAATTACACAATTACGCAGTCGTATTGGATTAGCATAATTAACAATGCATATAAACATTAAAGCTCTTCATGTGTTTACATAAATATTAAAGATTTATAGAGCAACGAAAGCGAGAGTTTCATTTTGAGTAAGGAAGTTATAAAAGTAGCGAAAGAAGCTCAAAGCAGAGACGAAAACGAAAAATATCCGAGAAGAAAGTGTAAAAGCAGAAATGAACAGTTAATCTTGAATTGCTGACATTGACCCAATGCCACGTCGTGTTTTTGTATCAAAACTAGGCGGAATGTGAACTGTTATATAATTTTCTTTGAATTGGTTTATGACTAGGTAAATAACATGGAAAATGATGCTGATTTTATTGATCTAGATATGGTTTAAAGTTTAACGGTTTTTTAAATTTTGCGGGAAACTTCACTTGAAAAAGTTCTTCTTAAATATTTCAAATTCAACTAGCTTTATATCAATATTAATAGACTTAAATAAGATAAAAACATGGCAGAAAACAAACATCATAAATCTAATTCCAATTCTCAACTTAATAATCATTTTATTTGTAAAACAAAAAAATTAAAAAACAGCATGTCATCAGATTTTCTATCAAAACTCTGACATTAAACCCAAAATATTGCCAAATTCATACTATACCTCAACACATTCCGGTTTTGATATCATTACGTATGGTGTTCCAAATAGCCAGCCTTTATTCAATCCTTGTTTTCGTCCAAAAAGTTGCCTGAGCCCAGTAAGTCGACTAAATACTTCTACATAGAGATTTTTCATACTTTTAGTGACACAATTAAGATTTTATGAATTACAAACATTTTAGAGACGTGACGTAAGAAAAACAAAAAACTTAATGCGACAGTACATTTTTCTCATGCGTCAATAAAAATTAACATAAAAATGAATTAAAGATGATAAAAAGTGCCCAAAATTTCACAACTACTTTGTGACAAATGCTAATTAAAATAACTTTAATTTCCTTGTGACATTTATTTGACCGTAACTACCTTTTGTGTGTTAATTGGAATCTATTAAGCAATCCAGCTCTTCTTTATTTGTCACCAACGTAATTTTTTGAGATAATTTTGCTTAAACTATTTAGCACGTTTATTATAAAGATTTCAAAACAACTGCAAGACATGATCTGTAAGAGATTTCTCGTGTCTATTTGCTGACATGTCTTCTGTGTGGATATAGATTCATGGCTTTAAGATTAAACATGATGATTATCTTGTATTGATATTTGACTACTTTTGCATCTTATTTTGCGAAATTAAGTGTGGCTGTCAATTGTTTGATGACATCAAGCAGCTATCTTAGAGCCTGTTTTATTTGAAGCTAGTTTCTTTGGTACAGTAAGGTATAGGAACAACACTGGTACAATAGTGTTACAGTCAGTTATTTCGTACCTATACAATACCTTACCGTACCAATGTCTGAGAAAACATTTTGAGAGCGACCAATGGCTGAGAAATCAGCCTCAGTATTCCAACGACCTCCCTACATGTCCATCAATACGAAATCATATCCACGACAGAATTGAATGAAGCAATCATCATTTTGTGGGGATTTTATGCAAGCCACAATAAAGAATTAAATTTAAGTGCTAAAAAATTTAAGCAAACCATCAATCAAATTGTTAATGCAGTTAGTATCAATGGGGAAAAAAATATTAATCAATACATTTATACATAAAATTTTCATTAATTTTTTTTTATTATATTTCATGTGTTATGCTTTTGACATCCTTTTTCATGTACATGTGTGTGTACGTGCGTGTATTTGTGTTAATTAAATTATCAATATTTAATTACCTCTGCCATGATATGATTATAAATGATAATCCACGGCTTATCACCATTCCAACCTCTCATAATCCCTTCGTCATGATTAAATACTCTTTCACATCCACAAAGCCGTGCAAATAATTCTAAATAATGACGGGAAAAAAAATTTGTCTCGTTTTGTTTTGCTGTTATTTAAGGTGTTAAGGATTAAAATATGAATAAGCAAAAGTGATTTTGGATGAGATGATTACTGATCTTGGTCATTTTGATGTCGCTTTACTGAACTTTATCAATTTGTGATTATTTTATGGTATGATTCTTTGAGTTTGAGTTGTTCAAAACCAAGATGCCAGCTGCATCTTTGGACTTGCCAATTTTTTGTAATCAAATTTTAAAATCAATATTGTTAAGAACCATATGCAAATTATTCAGCATTTTGTTTTAAAACATAAAAATTTAAATATTGCGAAATATTTTTTGTTTTTCCGTAGTCTCAACCTGACGTTTGTTGAGGAATTAATAACAAACTCATTAGAATCGATAGCATAATCAAAAGATTAAAGAATAGCGAAATAAAACGTGACAAACGAGTTTTGCAAACTTTACGAATTTTAATCAGCGGCAGTTTTTTCATTAATTATCTTCATCGTCGGAATTGAGTCAAAAGCGAGAGAAATTGCATTTATCAATTATTTATGATCCATCGAAAACAATTACAGATAGTTGTGTGATTTTATTGTGATGAATGTTCAATTTTACTGTATTTGCGGTGATGTCACATGTGTAGTTTGCGTATAAATATAATAATAGAACAGAAACGGCAGACATAACAGTAATTATGCATGATTTATAGCTGTTTATGGCGCATTTTTGTGTAAAATAAAATAAATTATTGCGTAACGGTTTAATATAATTTAAATTTTAACAGTTTTGAACAATTCAAATTTCCAAAAAAATGTCCGATAAAATTTGAATTTATATTTATGGGCAATTCTACGAAAAGGTTTCATGAAAATAATCCGTGTCAATTGCATGAAATTTTTTAATTATTTTATTTTCACTTGTGCATAGTTTTTCAAAAATCTAATTCTCATTTTCTTTTCTATTGGTTAAACTGTGAATTATGATTACATCTGCACTCAAATTACTTAGCTATGGCTTGAGAAATTCATGGTTTTAATTTTAATATTTGGTAGTTTTTTTGGAATTGTCTCCAAATTACTCTGTTTCACTTATGAAATTTTTCGTACAATCCAAATTGCAGCTTAATTAAGGCTTCCACAAATATGATTTTGACATCGTTTTGAAGCTTTTACTTTAAGCTATAACTTTGTATACTTAGTATTACTGGAAATTTTACCACCTTAAAGATATTAATGAAAACATTTTGGAAATTTGGCCGAAAAAATTCATGTGAAACAGAGTAATTTTTCGTAGAATGTAAATAATTCTTTAATTAACCATTTTTAATATGTTTGGGTGTGAAAATTATGTAGATATCGGTAAAATCTACTATTAAATACATGAAACATGGGGAGTAATGCAATTGATAAAGAGAAATATAGATTTGGAGACAAATTTGTAGAAAAAATCATTCGTAGAATCGCCCTTATATTTCCACACAAAGACTCGCCGTGTACCTCAAAAATTCAAGCTAATAAAAATATTTCTGATAACAAAGTATGACTCTTTTTCAACTGTACATTGCCTTCAAGTACAACAACAAAAATTTCTCACATCAAAGCTGAAACCGACTTTTGAAAAAAGGTTAATTTTGTTATTTTTGGCTCCCTTTATCAGCAACAAATGACGGCTTTATGATGATAAATGTGATTGAAAATCACGATTTCTAAAAGCAGAAATTCTTTCAATGAATGAATTAGAATGATAAAATTTATATGCGCATTCAACGGCTTTAATTAAAGCATTCTCAATTGATTGTATTTATTTTGTAATTTAAAATAATTTTATCTCAATATTAATGCAGTTAATTGATTAAATGAGGTAATATATGCAATTAATACAAGACAATTAACAGTAACTTTATTCAGTGCAGCATCTTGAAAGATATTTTATTGCGGAAACGACTTTTTCTTCACTTAAGATTGCAAAATTAATTTATTTGGGTTATTAAGTGAATGATGGATATCATCATCTTGTTAAGATTTAAATTTTATAATCAAAAGAAATTATTTTAATTTTAAAATCATCAAAATTTGTTTAAAATTCAAAATTGTTCATCTATGACTTGGAAGTAAACTTAAACAATAGTTCAATACTAATCTTGTGTTCCATTTGAAATTAATATCTCAGAAACTCTGAGTCAGAATATTCAAATTAAATTAACTTCAGTTTGCATCCTCAAGATTTGACAGAAAAAGTTGCTCATTCAAGTTTCTTTTAAATATTTTGTCATGCTTCTTTTGAAGATATTTGCATGTATCCGCAAACTATTTCTGGAGTTGACACAGAAGGAATTTGATAACAAAAAAATTCTTTCCGAAAAAAAAATTTTCAAACCAGTTTCGACATTCAGAATATTTTAAAGTAAAGTCTTGCTTGCGAATTGAAATGAATTTTTAATAGAATTTAAATTAAAAATGAATGCAATTGAAATTTTACAAGCAGACAGCATGATTAGTAACTCTTTACTCATGAATAATATCGTATTTTTCTGTCTTGACAGATTCTCGAGATAAGATCGATCCCCAATAAAGGAATCTCCCTTTTCCAAACTTTAAGAACAAAACTAATCTCAAACTAGCATTCTAGAACAAAAAATAATTGTCATATATTAACAATGTGTAAGATTCTAATTTAGATTTTCTTGACAACAAACTCTACAACTCTATTCATACCTCCAGATAAAGATAACTCAAGAACTTATAAATCTTAAACAATTCAGTAGCAGAATCTTACCAGACATGATAATAAAATGTAAAACTTATATAACAAGTTACAGTTTATTCAAATTTCCAATAATCATAAAGCCTTATTTGATTCATCAACGCAGAAATGCGAAAATCAAAAAAAAGACAAGGTTTATTTTTAAAGTAAACAGGTTTAATCCAATAAGACTAATGTTAACATTCTGATAATAAATAATTCAAAACTTCATTTCATTTGGAACATCCAAAATCTAGTTTTAGGCTCAATGTTAAGGGCATCACGTGTATCAACAAAGATCATTGACACATAAATCTTGATATTTTTAAAAAAAGCTCAAATGAGAATCTCATAATCTAAAGTAATAAATTTGAAACCTTTATCAATTGATAGCTTTGCACCGAACTATAGAAATTAGTTCAAAACTTGTTCAGGGGTTTTCCTAATTCTCAGAATAAAGTGATATCAAGAAATTTCTTTTTACTTTATATTCTAAAGTCTAAAAGAAGCAAAACAACAAAGATGCAATAAAGATGCCCAAAACTGCCCAAAACGTATAAGCTAAAGTTCAATAAACTCTTAAAGCTTATATTAGCTTAAATTTTATTAAATTTTGCTTCATTCGGGTTTTGAATCTCCAAAAAATTACAAAAAGATCTCGAAAGAACAGCATAAGGTAAAACTGCAGAAATATCATGCGGCATATAACTCTTCTGTTTTCTGTTTTCGTTTGTATCTTCTTCGCGGTTCAAAAACTAATGACATTGAGATCGATCACCAGTTTTGTGACAATGATCAGTATCAAAGTCATTATCACTTCCACCTTTTCTTGTTTGAATAGATGATTAGATTTTGTTATAAGATGATAATAAATTGTGACTCAAAAGTTTAGATTATTGAAATTTTGATTGATTTCCCGCCAAAATTCACTTATCTTGTAGATTAATTAATTAATCAACATTCATTGATTTCTCAAAATAACGGACCACACCGCAATGACTACAGTAATTTAATTAATATCAATCAGCTTCAAGTGCTTATGTCAAGTGTGTGTAATGCCTTATTAACCATGTGTAATTGAAGTCAAAATTAATCAATTCAAAATATTGATATCGACACGTCAACAATAATCGTAGATTGTCTTGCCAGTTGCTACTTTTTTGCACATTCGGGTAATTTTTTATTTCACAAAACAAAACGAAGACATTAAAAATTATTTACAAGACTTTGAACTTGTTCAGGTTTAGTCATTGCACATTTTCACGTGTCATTGACGTCAGTTTTCTTTAGTTTACAGAGAAAAACATGAATATCACTTTGATGTCCAATATATAGACATCTGAAGCAGTTAGCCTCAGCATCCTGATTAAACATGATTGATTATTTAATAGTATTTACGAAATACTCGAAAAACGAATGATTTAATATTTTACAAATTAAATTTTGACATCAAAGATCTATTGTTATTGAGAAATACTGACAACTTCAAACGACTTTTTAGCTAGCACTGCTTAATTCCCGAATATTATTATAAGACATGTAAACAATTAGCGGTATGTGGAACATGTTGAAAATCCGGTAATTTTATTAACATGAATTTATGAATTTTATTAATTCGTCGAAAAATCTTTAAAGGTCGGCCAGAGATTGAAATTAATTAGATTAACATTTTGAAAAATGAACTATGCATGTTTAGAGCATTTAATTAATGGAATTGTGTTGCAGTAGGAGGAATTTTTTGACACTCTTGCAGTATGATTTGGAAAATAGATAGATCTGTTGATATTCAGAGGCAAAACTTACTGTTGACTGTTGATTTATTGAATATTGAGTTCAGTTTAAAATGTGTCAACTTGCTTCATACGAAAGAAACCATAACATTCCCAAATCTCCAGATTACCTTGACATTGATCCCATAAATTGAAAATATTCATACCGGTTTGAGATAATATTATGCTGGTTGTAATGTTACATCGATTTTGGATGTAACTGACCTTGCTCATATCAAATTTCTGGATGTTTTACTATTTACAGCTAGACTTACAATCTCTTGAATTTTTTCACGAATCGTTCACTTTCAAAATAGTTTAGGAGAAATTTGCTTACAATAATCTAAGGATGTCTCAATTCAATGTTGTGCACTTTTCATCATGATCCATCAATTCATTCAATAAAATGTCTATACTCAACCAACAATTTATTAACTCAAAACAGGTATGACACATTTACTGTTAAATCCATAAAACATAATCAAATTCTTCTGAACAAGTCCTCATTGAAGGCACACCATAAGCATAAATTTCATAGTACAATGCCACGATCAACGTTATATACATGATTAGTGTCTGAGGAGCGGTTTTTGAATTCTCAAAAAAAGAAAAAAAAATTCTCACGGAAATGATTTTGAGCATGAGAGCAAGTCTCGTCAACGCATAGCATACAGAACAGCTGTTATCATATGTGTCTTTTATTGTTATTATTTTGCTGTTGTCCGCAAGATGAAAACAAGTTATGTATATGCGAAATAAAAGCATGACAAAAGGTGGACTTAAAATGACCATGTTTTTCGTGAGTCAGTACGAAGATGCGAGTAATCATCTCATTTTTTATGTATACATATTTTTAAATATAATATATAGCCAACACCAGATGAACCGGAATCGTGAACCAAAATTTTATTTTTTTTTTTTTTATTCAAGTTCTAAAATGTTTTATCACTGATTTTTCATATTTAGACGAAATATTTGAGGTTAAATTTTTTTATCTTGATTTACCGTCATGCTCAACATTTATCTCAATTGCGTTTCCTGAAAAGATAGAAAAATATGCAGCAACTTAATGATTTTTGTCTTGAGGATATTTAAAGATTTTTCAGAAATTATTAACTTGTGTTCTTTGACATTTAAAAATGAATGAAAGAACTTTGAGGGAAACAACCATGAAAAGCTGGTTCCATTCTAAACTAAAATGATAATTTTGGAAAAATATTTCTGTTTAGTTAAATTCTTATAATTTTTTGAAATATATTTTATTAATTGAAAATATTAAAATTTTGTGTTTGGAAAATTCGAGATGTTTGGACTTCTTAAATTAAACATTTTTGAAATGTTAAACTTAATTGGAAGTATTAGATTAAAATATTCTTCAAACCAGATCATAAACTCAACTTAGTTTATTCATTTAAGATTTGAAAGCGATTAAATATAAAGTAAAATCAAACTTTCTGATCACAATTAATTGAATTGCTAATTCTTTCTTCTTTCCTGGATGTTTTTTGCAAATCGAAAGAGTCAAATAAAGAAGCAGAAACTCAAGATTAATCCTAATTCTGATAAATTCCTTTGCCAAATGCTTTTGACAAATAACTTTGATTTAATTAAAAAACTTTGGTTTTAAACTAGATCATCATTATCATGCTTTTTGGTTCCGAAGATTTCTTAATGATTTTTAAGATTTTTCTGGATTAATTTTAAGTTTTCACTCAATGATTCAAGTCCAATTTCAAATAAAACTCTGTCAATTCTACAAAAAGATAACATAATCAAATAAACTTAATCCTCACCAATTAAAGGAAGTGCTGGAGGTCCAGGAATTTTATTAATCAATCGAACCATTCGAGCACGTTTACGATTATAATTAATAATCCACGACACTATCATAATAATTACAGCCAAAGTAACTGGTGAAATTGAGAAGAATATTTTCTCATAATATCGCATTATTAAGCTATGATCAATGTATGCCACTTTTTCTATCATTTTGATATTTGTTTAGAACTGTCTGCTTATCACAATTATCACTTTTATATCTTCAATTTTTCTTCTTTAATTTATATTGCCACAAAAATTCAAATTAATTTAATTCACTATAAATGTGATATTTTTTTATTGCACAGCACCATCCGATCGTTCTTGTCCGAGCGAGCGACAATCGAAAAATGTCTTGTGTCTTCAACTTTTTCTGTCTATCTAAGCTTGTTTCTTTTTCGAATGAGCAAAAAAAAATAAAAGAAAAAAAAAGAGTTGAGCTTCTTACGGTTATTGTTAATCGGAGACCTTCACGCTCGCTCTGATTGCTGATGCTGCCTTATAGCATTTTCTTTCCTTTTCTAACAGTTTTTTTTCCTCTCGCGTGTGGCTTTTTTTGAGGGATATTTCTATCTATTATCAGATTTGAGAGTTCTTCTTCTTACGGTATCTAGCTTAACATCACACGTTGTGGCGATCGAATAAAGTCACGTACACACAATCGTGTCTAGTTTTTCGCCAAATTATAATTTTGAGTTGAATGAGAAAAATGTTTCGTTTTTGTTGTTAAAAATTAACATAAATTGAGAAATGTTTGTCGCGAGAAAATCAGAATTGTTAGATTTGAGGACATTATGCTGAAGTGTTAATTCAATAATTGAAAATTGAGCTCATCTTTCTAAGGTTTAAGACTTGATAAAGCTGCTTGCAGTCATTAGTGTCTTACTTTAGTGATCATTTAGCTCCAAAGTCTGGCTTCTGCATTCTGCCTCCCTTATTTCCCAGCACTAAGCTGTAACATCAAACATTTCAGGCCGCAGAACATTAAATCTTCCGTTTATCATTCAATTACTCCGTATCTCCTAAAATAGGATCCTCGTTTGAGAACCACTTCCGTAAATTCTAGGTGAAATGATATTCAGCGTCATTTGCAAACGTTAGCATAGACTTATTTGTACAAGAAAATAATTGCGATTATCCAACATTAAAATAAAGACTGAATAAATTAATTTACAATTACACATTCGAGAGTCTCAAATGTCAAACAAAAATCAATATTCGCGTATCATCAAAAAAGTGTTGACTAGAGTTACGAAACTTCAAAATTGCTGTATCATATTTGCTATAAAAATATTTTCAAAATATTGGTTCATTGACGTATTGTAAATTCTATATTTGGGATTTTTTTTTATTCTGACCAGTTTCATTTCGACACATTCCATTTTCCAGCACGGAATTTATGCTAATTTATTGTTATTTTACACTGGGAAATATGAATGTTTTGAATTTTAAAATGTATGGGAATGTTGTTAATGGGGATCGTCTTCATAGTTGTAATCTTTAAGATGTAATCCTTGACAGCTATAATTTGATTGTTTAATTAAGCTTAACTATAAGGGTGTGTCCTTCTCAGTTGACAGGAAATGTTTTACAGAATCTGAGCAAGTTTAATCACTTGCCAAGCAGATACTGATTTGTTCTAGATGTTCTTTGCGCTAGCACTCGAAAAAGTTGCAAATCATTGTAAGTCTCTCTGTTGGATCTAACTGAAGAAACTAGTAACAGTCAAGGGTGTGGAACTGAAGAATTACATCTTGATCAATTTTGATAATTTTTTGATCATTTTTGATCATTTCATCAGTACCACACCCTTGGTAACAGTATGCATTTTGAGTACTTTAGATAAATTCAGATTTGAGTGACGATTCTTCTAGTAGCTTCCTCAATTTTTCATGATTTATAACAGCAACTAGAGAAGATCAGATTCAGCAAACTTCACATAATTATGGAGAACCTAGATTTATTCTTGCAATTAGAGTTCTTCACTTCCTTCTTTTAACTTAATTGCCATTTTTGAGAAACGATTATGAGATCGACATAATGAAACAAGCTCTCTTCATAGTTTATTGCTGAAATTTTTCATGTAAATTGAAAGATGATTTAAATAGTTGACATTATCTTATAAGATATCGAAATGATCATCATCATCTTTAAGCACAACATTTCCTTTATTAGAAAGCAAGAAACTGATTACCATATTTGCATGTGATGTATTAAATGTTTGTGGATTATATAAGATGAAATTTTGGCAACATTTGATTCTTGTGAAAATATCATTTAAAACTTATCAGTCCGAAATACCTTGAAAATTTGCAAAAAAAATTAGACTTAGGTGGTTGACATATAAAGTTTGCAAAAAAAATTCATAGTTGTTGCAGATTTTGCATTTTGAATTTAAGCTAGTTTTTTTTTTCTCATGTTCAAAAAGTTTGGTTCACTAAAGCCATAAATTTGGAATTTACAATTTATTTAAATTTAAAAGAAATTCATTCAACGATAAGGCTTACAGGTATCATAAATTAATTTAAAAAATATTTTTGAATCAGCTGATGAGAAGCAAGTTTCCAAAAAAAAATTCAAATTATGCCGAAAACATAAAATTTTCTTGTATATCTCGTGCCAAAAAACTAGCAATTTTTATGTAAAGTTAATAAAAACTAATAAATTTATGCATTCAAATAAGATACTTTTTAAAATATGAGATAATTTTGATCTTTAATAACTTTTGCTGCTGACCAAAAGTTTCGCGACATTTAAAAAACTTTAAAATCTAAAATTAGATCAAACTCACTTAGCAATTTATCCAAAATCGAACTCAAAAATATTATAAAATGATCATTGGAATTGTCCCAATCGAGAAACGCTGATTTTGGCAAATAAACTTAATCAGGACAAATTATCATAAAGCTATAAGAAGAAACTATCATAAAATTCGTATGACATTATGTAAGGCAACTAGTAACACAGTTATCAAAATGCAGGTTAAATAAAAAGCAGTTAAGATAAAATTTTTTGCAGATTCTCTATTGGGGTTCATTTGGGAATGACGTGCAAGGTTAAGGAAGAGGGAGGTTAGAAGTTGTCTAATGAGAATACTAAATGAGGACCTTGATTTGCAAAATTTTTTTGAGTCTGAAAAACTTTATCCAAATCGAAGAAATTGAACCAATTTACTTTGAGTCTGTTCAGGAACATCTGTTAATGATAAAAACCTATATAAGAAGCTATCATCCAAGTTTTGATGTCCAATATCTATGTTGATCGCCCGCTCCTATCTTCCTATCAACAAAGAACGTCAGCAGTGATCTAAACTAGTCAATACAACTCATCATACATCAAATACAAAAAACTAGAGCATCGCTATGCTAGGCATTATCACATAACAAGTGTCTATGACTATACTTAGTCAATCATCACGACTAACTGTGTGAAATACTAGAAATAGATTTGAAAAATAGGTCGAGTGATTGTGATTGGCATATTAAAGAGATTGAACATTACTGATTATATTTAATCTAATTTCATGCAGCCGCTCAATCTTGAGTTTGCGATTGAAAACATTGAGTTTCAGCCAGCACTAAAAGAACAAAAGAAAACAGACACAGAAAAATATTATAAAAGGGGAAAAAAATTATTATTATTTTCAATTATTATGATGCGTATGCTTCCTGTCATAACGAGTTTTCATTTCAATATTTCACAAAACAATCGAGACCGAGAGCAAGTGCGAGCGACGAGAGAATCAGCATAAGATGGAAATGAAAATATTTTGATTTTCGTGATGATTCAATTTTTGGGCGCTAAATGTTACGCAAAAAAATGTTTTAAAGTTTTTATTTTGTAAAATGTTTGTTTTGGAATTAAGATGTGGCACGTGAGATGATTTTGAGGACTGCAATTTTAAATGTGATGAATCTTTTTTGGGAAATGGGGTGGTTCAGATGCATTATTTATTATTGACTTGCTTGGAATTTTCAATATTTTTGTAAAGCTTCTTATTTCTTAACTCTGACAATCATTTCTTGATTGTTGTTGGCTCCTAATTAAAGCATCATTAAGATTACTGTTCAGAACAAATTAAAGATGACATTCTGCCAAAGTTTTACACAGCCTTTGATAACTCAGTTAAAATAGTAAATGATCGCGGGTTCGAATCCCATTTACACAAAATGTTAAGATACATTTTACTTGAATTACAACCTGATTTCTGTTTTGCTTAATTTAATTCTTCAGCTGTCCTTAAGAGATTTAAGAATAAATTATTGAATTACTTTGAAAATGTTGCATCCATAAATTGCATAGATTTGTCTCATAATTATCATAAATTTTTATCAATAATGTAAATTTCAATAGTGCTGTATTTAAGATAACATCTTTTTAACTTCCTGTGTGTTCCTTTTAAATATGCAAATGCTAAGATTTATCTATAACCTTGCATCAGCACATGTTAACTTTTGATTCATCAAGATGTGAATTTACATTTCACACTATCCACGTTCCTACTTTGAATAACTTTAATTTGAATTTTATCAAAATTAGTTTGAATATTTTAACAGTTTTCGTTGGTTTTCATGGCTAGGTTAGTCATAAGTTTTGTTAAATTTGCTGTTTTTTCATCCGTAGAAGCGTCAAAATGACAAATTCATGGAAGTTTAAGTTTAACATCACTTACAAACCTTAGCTTATTTAATAAGCAAAAGCCAATTCTGTAAAAATGAATGTCAAAGGTGATGGATCATATAAAAATTCAGTAAATTCAAAGGTGAGATTAATCCAAAGTATCACAGTACTTAAACCACAGATCTTTTTGAATGGTTATTAATTTCGATTTTGAACAAAAACCGGTGATCTTTTAATGATAATGCAGTCATGTCGACTTGCACAAACCCGTTCAAAATTAGTTCCTTGATAGTATTCAATTCCGTTCAATCTTTAAATTTCCATGCTGATTCGCATGCATTCATATGCGAACGAAACTAAGTAGCCCAAAGCTACTGAACTGAAGATGTCGCTAGGAGTCACTTTCATGTCAATAATAACCGTTAAACATTAGCATAGCTTCTATAAGCTGCTTGAAACTTCACTGAAAGACAATAATGGATAGATATCAAGGACTGCCAGTCCAAAAATACATAAAAGCTAGCAAATTTCAACAAAAGGCAGCGTCATTGACAAACAGTAAATGTCAAAAGTGAATCTAAAATAGCATTAAATTAATCCACAATTTTCAGTTGAGAAAAGATTGTTTCCTTTTTTATTTAAACGGCCTTTCAAGCGGGATTTATTTTAGTTTTTTGTTGCTTTTCTTATCTTTTGTTTTAAATTTAAAAAAATAATAAAAAGGATGATAACATTAGGGAGATACTCAAGATAAGGAGGAGAAAAACCAAAAGAATTTACTCATAAATATGATGATACATTTTACAATAACTTCCAAGATTAAAGAAGAATCCTTTCACTATTTATTATTTAAATTAATTAAACCCTTTCACGATGTCTTTTTGTCTCTGTTTTGTTTTGTAGGTTCTTTTGATATTACTTTTTCACATTTTTTAAATTAATTAATTTGTATAAATTTGTTTCTCATGAAGCTTGTGTAGTTTTACGATGGGATTCTGGGAAACTTCATTAATTTATAACTTTTTTTTTTCATTCAACATTACATATTTTTTAATATAATTAAAAATCATGCCTAATCAATATATTGAGCCAACCAACGGAAGCCTTCTCCATATCCTTGTCGCTTTAACACCGAACACATAAAGAGCTCTAATGGACGACCCGATAACTCTGATCTTGCTATGTTTGCCTGAAAATGAAATATTTTTCAATTAGTTAAAGTTTTTTTCGAGCACTATTCATGCCCCTACTTGATAGCAAGGAAATAATGACATGATTGAGAAGTTTTATCAAGAAGAACATTATGTGACTACATAGACTTGATTGTATTTTTTGATTGAAAACAGCCATTAACAGAACAAGAAAAGCAACCGTTATAAAGTAATTTTTGGTGGAAATTGAGAACAAATTGGCATGTAACATTTCTTTGCTAATTCTGCCATTATTCTTTGAAATTTTCAATTTTATGAGCACTTTATACCTTTAACGATTTCTTGAAATTCAAAATTCAACGAATTTTTGAGTTCAAAACGACTCTTAAAGTTCAAAATTTGAAAACAAGATTGAAAACAAAATTCGAAAATTAACGACTTCTTAATCTCATATTCAAGTCTATTTCTGTTCATTCGCAAAACTTTAAAATTGGGTCACAAATTAAATTAAAACGAAGCATATTTCATATTGCATCGTGATTTTTGCCTCGAGTTGTTTACAAAATAATTAAAAATGAATGCAATGCATAAATTTTAAAATTTCTACTTCTAAAATAATTTGATTTAAAGCCTTATCAGTAAATTAAAATCAACATTAGAGGCTTGTTTGTATTGGTGCACCTTTTTTTTGGGTATGATTAATTACGTCAGCATAGTCAATGTGTCAGAAGAGCTAAACATTTGAATCACGATCAATTTTAAATGCTCATTTACATAATTCATTATTAACTTTTACTTTCACGCTTATTATTAAATTAAATTTCTTCACATTTCGAATGTGGAGCATTAAACAAAAAGTTTTGGCAACAATGACTTAACGTATGCTTCACAATAAGTATAATAATTTTTACGTCATCGACAACGTAACATCAATAATTATAATAATTAAAGAAAATGTGTATGGCATTGAGTATATTTACCTTTCCTGTTGTAAGTTGATAAAGTCCATAGAAATTTCTCAATTCATCTTCGCTGGCTGCTCCTGGTTTGTCAATTTTATTACCCAATATAAGGACGGGACAATTCGATAAAGCTTCGTCCGTTAACAATGAATCCAATTCGATTTTGCTTTCTTGGAAGCGACTACGATCCCATGCATCAATTAAAAAGACAATAGCATCGACAGCTGGAAAGTAGTCTTTCCACACACGACGAGCTTGCGTATGTCCACCTAAATCGAATGTTGTAAAACGCATATTTCCTATGGACAGTTCCTCTGATGTCGGATGAAGTGTTGGAACATGTTGTGCTAATCTGTCATCTTTAAGCATGTGAAGAAGTGTCGTTTTACCAGCATTATCTAATCCCAAGAATAATAATTTGCCAGATTTCTTCCATAATCCTAAAAATGGACATAAGAAAAATCAGATGATTAGACTTTAAGGTCAAACAAGAAGAAGAACTTGAATGTGATTGCGTTTGCAAATACTTAAGTCGTTTATAGACAAATAAACAATGGAAATGAGGAACTGACGACTGCTTCTTTGTTATTAAAATGTGCAATACATGCACAAGAAACAAGTCATAAAGGAATAAATGCACAACTCACCCAAATATCCTAAAACACCAGTGAACCAGTCCCAGATAAACATTGTTTTTTCTTATTATTTGCTGTGTAATCTGTTGACGAAGAATGGAATTGTTAATTATAGTAGAAATTGCTTGTTAATTCGAGTATAATGAGGGCATATAAATTGACATGATTGGAAGGAATCAAAGTTCAAAGCAATATTTGTGCTACGTCATTAAACCATTTGGAATATTTCATATTCTTTTCAATGATTAGCTAAATGATGTGCTATCAAAATCATTTAATTCACAAAAATGCCAAATCAAGTGGACGTGCTTAAGATATATTTTGCATAAATTTCATTTTCTCGTCTTTTTCGTAAGGTGATCACATATTACAAAACTTTTATTTGGCCATCACAAGCACATCTTCTCGTTGAAAAGACCTTCAACATATATATCTACGTTAGTTAATGTCTGTATTGCTGTCTGTATCTTTTTTTTTTGCTTGATAATTTTCCCTCATTTATTCATCATGTCAATTTTTCCTATTTATCCACACTTTTTAATCCAATCTTTTTGCACAAACTGATTCGTACCTCTTAAATCAATTAATTAACTATAAATTTCTTAGCTAAGTTATTTAATATCGTAGAAAAACTGAAAGTTTTAAGCAAATTTTCAGAATCTCCAACTCATCGACTAATACAGTTCACTGATGAGAATAGGCTGTGTGAAACTATGAATTTCTGACTGCTTTTTTTGAATTTTTAAAATACGTTCCGTTTGAGCTTTGCTTTTTGTGCAATTTTAATCTCTAGTTTAAAACGCTGATAAGCACGTTTTGACAATACAAAAACTCTCATGAGCACGTGCGATACTTATTCTGTTCTTACGATGCGATTGATGAATCAAGCGGCTTTTTAAAATTTGAATTTAACAGAAATTTTTATTTTAAAATTAAAGTTCAATTTTTGAGCCTTAAAATTTAAATATCAAAAAAACGTTAAATGACCTGAATATTATCAACTATAGTAAAAACTCCAGCAGTTTCGTAAAGACAATTAAAAATTTATTCATAAAGATAGGTATATTTAAAATAAATCATTTTCTGACAGCATTTCTTTAATTGTTTGTCTCAAACATTTCCTCATAATCATTATTATTCAATATTTTTCATGTTTAAAAAAATTCCTCTCATAATAAACTGGAATCTGTTATTATTTTAAGTATGTTTTAAGCAATAAGTATGTGCGATTTTTATTAAAAATCCCATTTCTGTTCTAAAATATTACCTATAATAAAAATGTTTTTATAAGAAAAAGCAATAAGCTCTCAAAGTGCTTGACAATCTTAATTTAAAAAAATGTTTCAATTTGTAAAAAGAAAAGTAAAACTTAATAGCTTTTTAGAAAAGAAAAAAAGACAAATTAAAGAAACAAAATTTTTGGTTTGACGATTTTTAGAGAAAAAAAAGTATATAAAAAATAAGACAATTTAATAGGATTAGCATAAGCGTATCTTAGTCACTGAGTTTCAATAGACTTTAATTATCGATTCACGACCCTTTCCAACACCAATCCACTTAATAGGAACATCCAAATCTTTCTCAATAAACCTCACATAATTCTGAGCTGCTTCTGGCAAGTCACGGAAATCTCGGACATTTGCTGTCGATTGCAGCCATCCAGGTAGCGTAACATACTCAACTTCAACGTGTGCCAAATCCGATATTGATCCAGGGAAATTATAAATTGTCTTATTGTGCAATTTATAGCTACAAAAGAATAGATTGTAAGACATGAAGCAATCAAGTCATGTGAATACTTACTTTATGCCTATTTTTATGCTCGGTAAAGTGTCAAGAATATCGAGCTTAGTCAGACAGATTGCCGAATATCCATTTACAAGTGAAGTGTAACGCAAAACAGGCAAATCCAACCATCCACAGCGACGTTTTCTTTTTGTTGTGACGCCAATTTCACCTCCACGTGTTTGTAAGAGATCGCCAATATCCTATAAAATTTGTTAAAAACATCTTTTAAAAATTCATTATTGTTTTTAAATTAGCAAAAATTTACATCTTTTAATTCTGTTGGAAATGGACCATCGCCAACTCTTGTTGTGTATGCCTTAACGACACCAATTACTTCACCAATAACTTTTGGCGGCAAACCAAGACCCGTAAGGACGCCTCCGATTGAGCAATTGCTACTTGTTACGTATGGATATGTTCCAAAGTCAATATCTGAAGAAAATAATAATTTGTGGGATTAAAAAAGGCCTTAAAAAAGTCTATAAATATACAATCTTACCTAACATGGCCGCATTAGCACCTTCAACCAAAACTGTCTTGCCATTTCGCAATGCTGTAAGTATTGAGATTGGAATTAGCTCATGAGTCACACACAATTAAAATAAATTAACGAACCTGAGTGGAGATAAAAGATTGTATCTTTGACATAAGGTCGCAATTTTTCAGCATACTGTGCATAACGTGAAAGTTCGGAGTCGACATCGACAGCACAGCCAGGAAATAGTCTTTGATGTGTTGCAACAATTGAGCGGAATCTTCAATTACAAAATTAATATAAAAAATTAAATGTCAGCAATAATTACATTATAAATTGTGCATCATGTTACATACTTATCACTGAATGTATTGAAGTCTCCGAGCAAATCACCTACTCGGATTCCATTTCGGGTTGCTTTACTGCTATAAGCCGGACCAATTCCTTTCTTTGTTGTGCCAAGTGATTTACCACCTTTTTCGGCCTCTTGAAGACCATCAACTTGCTGATGGAAATCAAATACCAAATGAGCTCTGTCTGATACAATCAATCGATTTTGCCAATCTGAGAGACCTTTTGCCTCATTCTTTGCAAGCTCTTCAAAAAGTCCTGGGAGATGCACAACAACGCCATTTCCTAAAAATAGTTTTGATAAAAAAAAATATTATTAACATCAATTCATAACAAGTTTAAAGACTCGGAATGAATGAAAAGGTCACACGTACATTAAATGCGTAGATTGATTCTCGAGAATTTATTTCTTGTTTCCAGGGAAACTTTAGGGAGCGTAAACTAATGACGTCCGACATTATTTCAATTTTTTACTCTATTTTGAATTTTAAAATTTAACGGCTTTCAAAACTTTGAATTTCAACGGATTTATAGAATTTAAAAATTTGAACTTAAAAAGTTTAATTCCTAGATCACCGTTAAAATTCAAATCCAAAATAAACGTTAATTTTTAAATAAATTTCTTTCACATTTTCAGTGGTTTCCTCTTCATTTGGAATCGTGATTAAATAATTGGAACCAAAATGTGATCATGAACTCGTCGACAAATGAGTAAAAATCCTGACAACCAGGCACTGAAATTTTGTGCCACTTTGTTCCATTCTCGAATCGATAAAACTTGTTTAAATCAATTTACAACGAGTTATGGTTATATCTTATTTTCTTGACAAAACAAAAAAAAAAGTTTTTGGGAAATAACCGAAATGAAATAACGATGACAAAGTTAAATTAGACATAATAACATTCTTCTTTTTTTGTGCCATGAGAAATCATGAACAGCAATAAAGTAAATTAATGGATGACAGGTTACTAACCGATTATAGATATGCTTTTCTCGTTAATAATTCCTGAAGGCAATAAGTGAAAGTCAAATTCCTTGCCATCAACAACAACCGTATGTCCTGCATTATTTCCTCCCTAGAAATATAAATAAAAATGTATTTTATAATAATTGGAAAAAGTTTGGCATTGAAAAGTCAAGAATGAATCACATTCTTCTGAATGAATATAATACTGGTAAAGATGTCAGGTTAGTGATGGTCTATAGAGGCGCATTATTTTCATAAAGAGTTATAATGATTTTATTTTGACAGTTGAATGTTCAATGGAAGTTCAAAATTTGAAAACCAACGAGAATTTTGAACTTTAATTTCAAATTAACAAAAAGCGTTAGAATTCAAATTTTGCAAAAGCGTTAAAATTTCAATTATTTAATAATGTACTAGACAAATTGACAAATTCTAAAGCCATAACAATCTTTCTTTATAGTATAATGCGGTAAAAAGTTACAGCCTTTGCGAAACGAGCAATGAAATTCGAGAGGAGGAATGTGTTTGAAGAGAGTTATCGACAATGATTATACATGCAGAAAGAGCAGAGATACAAAGTCTTTCAGGAGGTACTATTTTTGTCGATCGAAAAACAAAAAGATGTGAGCTCTAATTTCTCAGAAGCCAGCACTATGTTCGTTCATTATCATGTGAGTAAAATTTTACGGTCAGCTCCTAATGCTTGGCACTCGTCCAAATTGCTTACAATTATTGTAGTTGTTTAGAAAAGAATGAGAGAGGAAAGAAATTGGAAATTGAAATTCATTGAAGAAGACATTCATGGATCATGATAATAATAATAGTGCTGCTGATGCAATTCTCTGTCGCAGATGATGAAAGAAAATCGTTTAAGGTCAGTCAGAAATCTTTATATTTTCATTAAGCAGTCAATAAAGGAGGGAAAAGAGAGTCATGCGACCATAAACACCTGTTGTTGATGTTGTGAATGGAAGGGAAATTCATGTCGTGTTATCACAATTTGGTACTGAATATCAAATTAGCATTAATATCCAGTTCAAACTGAATTGACTGTTGATAAAATGACGAGTGCATATGAAAACGCGAACTGACAACGACTACACAATTAATTATCTGTTTTATAGATAAACTTTTCCATTTCACCGTAGATAATAAATCAGTTAGCATACAATTTAAATGATGTGTAAATAACCACAAAAGAAAGAGTCAATGTATGTGTACATTTGTCACTTAAATCACATGGTGTATAATTCCGATTCTCTCGGTTCCTTTCGTTTTTCTATTGCTTGCTTGTTTGTTTCGTAATAGACAATAACCTCCATTTTCAATACAATATAGGGACTATGCTCTTCTTTTATGTTTCTGTTTACTCACTTGACATCTGCAAACGATATCCGCATTTCCGGACAGCATATCAACGACTTTCCCTTTTCCTTCATCGCCCCATTGTGCTCCTAGAACAACCTATGAATTAGAAAAAGTTCTTTGTTAGCATTAATCTTGTATGGATTATAGAAAATTTATATATTTAATTGATATCAGCTGAATCACTATGTTCAATAATGTAGAACTGACGCATCCAATTGTTACATAAACATACCTGAACTTTAGAGACGTAGCTTGAAACGCTGCCAGACCGATCACGATTTCGCAATAATTCTCCATTTGTGTAATTTATATTACTTATTTCTCCGTTTAGTGATGACATTATGTCGTCAGATCAAAATTGCCCAAGCAACTAGTTATCGTCACTCAAAAAATCGCACTGAAATTATTTTCACAAGACAGACTTTTTTATTTTTGTTGAAAACAAAAAAAAACTCTCGATGTGCTAAATATTCGGCAAGGGTGATGCTTTGCGGGGTTGTCGACAGAACTTATAGATGTTATGGATTGATATTATTTATTAAATTGTTGCTAGAAACACTGAAATTTTATTAATTTCGGATTTTTTAAAACTATTACACAATGTAAACAAAACTTTTTGTCGATTGAAGCGATTTTTGAAAAATCTACAAGTTCAAATTTTGAACTCGAGAAAGAGATAATTCAAATTTTGAAAATACGTTGAGTCAACTAGCATAAAGAGGCATAAAGCAATAGCTTAGCAAAATATAATTAATATCAAGATATAAGCTGAATGATGAAATAAAATAGCAACACATGATGCAAAAATAAAAGAAGACGAGCAGATATTAACGTATTTTTGAAAGTTTAAAGGAAGGGGTAGCGCATACAGTAGAGTAAGAGTAAGAGTATACAGTCAAAATTGAATTTCATCAAAAAAGCTTAATTAAGTAGATTCTAAAGGCAACGACTCGATAGAAGTATTCTCAATCGATATGTGCAAGAGTATACAATAGCAAAAGAGTGATGTGTTGATCGATATTAAGAGAATTAATGAGATAATTTTAATACAAAAAAAGAATATTTAAGAAATATTTTAAAGATCTTGCAAAAAAAAAATAAAAAAATAAGAAGTACGGGAAACAGCAGTCATTACATTTGAAACATAAATAAATAGACGATATTTCCATAAGAATTGGAAACAAACAAATTAAAAATAGAATATGACATCAAGTGAACCAAGCGAATTGAGGACAGAAACGACGACGGCAAGAAGGAATGGAGCAGCAACATCATCATCAGGCACAACACCGTTATTAGATCCCGTGAAATCAGATGATTATCATCCGTCGAATAAAAATGCTCTTATGAAACTTAAAAGTTATCTTATTGCACTAAGAGTATGGTCATTGTCAGCGAGCATCATTCCGACAATTTTAGGTAGGTAAATTGCCAACGTGCCATATAGTGCTGTTAATTTATGCATATATGTGCATTTATGTGCTATCGTCGTATTATAGATGGATTGTAAATAGAATGTGACACTTGAATTAACTCCTGATTACTTCTAACTCATGTGACAACCGCGTACACGCTCACTTCCTTGATTTGATTCAAAGATTTCCATTCATTTTTTTCCATCTACTCCATTCTTCATTTTACACATAGTAAAGTGAATTTTTTTTTCTTTCTTCTCTTCTCACTTACGGACTAAAATATTAAAACATCTTCACCTTGCGAAGCCATTCCCAATTTATATGAGAAAAACTGGTTCTTTTATTTATTGGTTCATTAAATTCGTCATTTCCATTTCTCTCTAATGCTCTCAACAAATAACAGAAGAGAAAAAATAATAATCATAATCATATGCTGTGGATCTTTGTTCCAATTGTTGTCACTGACTATTTATTTTTTGTCTCTATTTTTAGGTGCTGCAATTTCTTATCGTACTCAATCTGCTCAGCAAGATTTTAGTCTCATAATATTCATATTGAATGTGTTTACAATCATCACTGTCCACTGTGCAGGAAATGTGGTAAATACGTACTTTGATTATGTCAAAGGAATCGACAATCGAAAGTCAGATGATCGGACACTTGTTGATCATCTTTTAACGATGGACGAGGTGAGATTCTCTTCCTTCCTCTATGCATCTTTACGTTCACTTTTTGGTTTTTGACGATATTTGCTTATTTTTCGCGTGACTGGCTTCTTGTTCAACAAGGAAGTCCATTTATAATATCTCAATGTCTAAATCTTTAAAGTAAAACCGTTGGATCAAAAAGTTTGAATTAAATTGTTAAATTTTTTTGAACTCTGTACTTAATTTGAATTTCAAAAGTTCGTTAAATTTTAAACATGCTTCTATTGCATTTTAGGTCGTGTCATTAGGCGCTGTATTATATACATTAGGCTGCATTGGATTCGTCCTACTAGCAATATTATCGCCAGCACGAATGGAACACTTAGCACTCGTTTATTTCGGTGGATTGTCATCATCATTTTTATACACGGGAGGAATTGGATTAAAGTACATTGCATTAGGAGATTTGCTGATTTTAATCATATTCGGACCAATTTCCGTCATATTCTCATACATGTCACAGACGGGAAATATCAATTGGGCTTTAATTTACTATGCTCTTCCATTGGCATTAAATACGGAGGCAATTCTTCATAGCAATAACACAAGAGACTCGGAAAGTGACCAAAAAGTTGGTATTGTTACTTTAGCAATTCTTATTGGACGAACAGCATCGCACGTTCTATACGCTCTACTCTTATTTATACCTTACATTATATTTGTTGTGTTGAGTTTTAAGTCATCATTATGGTTCGTATTGCCACTTGTAACCCTACCTCATGCGTTTAAAATTGAGAAACAATTTAGAAATGAAAATACACTTCAAGGCGTTCCTAGACAAACTGCTAAGCTTAATTTCTTCTTTGGATTTCTATACATTGTATCGTGCTGTTGTGTACCTCACTTACCATTAATTTCTCGAATTTAAGTGCAGAACAAAAAGAAGTTTTATACTGAAAAAAGTACATTAATTAAATACATATGCGTACTATCAACTGTCGGATTGGTATGCGAACAGAAAAAAAAAGAAATATTAAACAAAAATGCTAATTTAATTTGTCATTATTTTAAGCATAAACAAGAAGTGAAAACAGAAGAAGAAAAATCAGTTTTTAAAATAAATCATAATGAAGGAAAATTGTGATTAACACTCTAGCTGTAATATGTGGCTACAAATCATCTTTTTTGGGGGCATTATAATTAAAAAAAAGTTCTTCTTAATTAATGAATAGTCAATATGGATAGGTTGTTGCTGCTCATACAAAATTAACCTAGTTTAACGACCCCTACTCGATACCATACTCAAATTAAGGACACTTATTCATGCAGGCTATATTTATATCTCATAAAAATAGAGTTTAAACTGATAGTATGTGCATGATAATTCAGGGCAGTGACCAAAAATTTTTACAATAGCTGTTTTTAAAATTAAATTGATGAAAAAAAGAATTTGAACAAATTTATCGGTTAAAAATTATTTGAATTTTCAAATTTCAAAAAACCGTTGAAGAATAAATTCAAAAAAACTATTAATTTCTAAAATCAAAAATATTCTTAAAACTCAATTTAACATAGACTTTTTCTTAAGAATCCAATAAGAATTTCAAGGCATGGCATAATGACAATAATACAAATTTCACCTCAAATTCATCACTCATTTTAAAGAAACATATCAAAAAATATTTTATATGTAAAAAAAAAATACAAAGTCAACGAATTTTAATGGTCGTAGATTTTTGTTTGAACAAGTCTGTCCATATTGACGAATATCTTTTACAGCATTATTGGCTAAATAAAAGTATTTGCCAAACAAAAAAAAAATAAATTATTATTTTATTCTCTTAAATTTACTCGAAATCTGATAATCTTCAATGCAATGTAGCAGTGGCAATGTGGTAGAAATTAATAATTTTATAGACAAACTAAAAAAAGAGAAAGAAGAAGAAGTACTTAAATTGGCTTGTTTTTATGTTCTTGTTGCTAAAACAAAATAATAATTGTATATGTACTTTCCAATTTACTCATTAATTAATTATTATCAATTTTCATACATAAACCGAGGATTAATATCAAGAAAGAATTGTAACAATATCTCCCTTCGATATATCATGTAAGCTATGTATTAGAACAGAAATCAATGTTTTTTCTACATCAAGATTATTAATGATTAATAGCTATTAATTATATATTTTAAATCAAAAAATGATCATAATGATGATGAAAAAAATTTAATTTTTAAATTGAAATGACAATAAATGAAAATTGAATACCTATTGTAAGTCTATCTTTTGGTTCATGCATCCAGTAATCGACCAGAACTAGCTTATACATTTAACGGATATTAGCGGTTTTCTAGAATTCAAATTTGAAATTTTTACGTGAAAAAATATTGCACAATGAACGAATTGAGTAATTTTTCCACGTCAGTGCTGAACTTATAAGGAACGAGTCAGTCCAAAACTTGATTCATTTGTTAATTAAACTTTTGTCGAGTACAACATAATCTTAAGAAATTAGAATAGTCAAGAATCTTTATAATGAAGTATTTATTAGCTACTACGCTAGGAATTGTTCTGTTAATATCGACAGGTAAGAATTAAATTACACATTTCTGGATCTCGAAAATTCTTATTGTCGGCAAACTTAAAAATTGTTAAATATACTATTATTAATCAATGAATAATTACTTTCTCTATCATAATTAGGACTTCTGGTTAGCGGGAATGAAGATGCAGGCACAGAAGAAATTAAAATTGATGATAATTTAAAGACATCAACTGGAACTGATTCAGATACCTTGAAACGCGAAGAAGAATCAATCAGCATCGATGGATTGAATGCTAAAGAGATGAAGGAACTAAGGGATAAGGTAAGTCATTATCAATATTGTCGAAAAACCCAATTTCCATTCAAAAATTCCAAAAAACTTACGTTCTCAATTCTTATTGGGCCACGTAATGTTTTTTTGTTCTCTCGCATATTATAATACTCTCAGTTTCTAGTAATCAAAATCCAGTTATGCTTAACATGTCTTTTTTTTCTCTCTTATTACTTTTGTGCATTATAGGCAGAAAAATTCACCTTTCAAGCTGAAGTCAACCGTATGATGAAGTTGATTATCAATTCATTGTACAAGAATAAGGAAATCTTCTTGAGAGAATTGATCTCAAATGCTAGTGATGCTTTAGATAAAATTCGTCTTATGGCGCTTACTGATCGTGATCAATTAGACACAAATACTGATTTGTCAATTCGTGTAAAGACAGACAAGGAAAATCGCATATTACACATTATTGATGCTGGTAAGTTAAGCTAGTGCCTAGTGATTTATTTGCATTACTGAATGTTTTTGAAAATAACGGATATTTTGATTTTGAATTTTTTCAAGTTCAAAGTTCAAAACTGAAACGACACGAACTATTTTTCCTGAACGGTAAATCTGTTCAGCAGTTGATTTTTGAAACGTTATCAAAAAATGCTCATAAATTTATTATGCTGCTTATCATGACCTTAAAAATGTAATAAATATAATTATCTTTAAAGGTATTGGAATGACTCATGATGATTTGATCAACAATCTCGGTACAATTGCCAAGTCAGGCACAGCTGATTTCCTTTCCAAGATCCAAGAAACTGAAGGACAAGATCAGGAATCAAATGACATGATTGGACAATTTGGTGTTGGTTTCTATTCAGCTTTCTTAGTTGCCGATAAAGTTACAGTCACAACAAAGCATAATAATGATGTACAATACATTTGGGAAAGTGATTCAGCAAACTTTAATATTGTTAAGGATCCACGCGGTGATACATTAAAACGTGGATCACAAATTTCGCTTCATTTAAAGGAAGAAGCACAAGATTTCCTCGAAGAAGATACAATTAAGCAATTGATTAAGAAATATTCACAATTTATAAATTTCCCAATTTATATGTGGACATCAAAGACAATTGAAGAGGAAGTTCCAGTTGAGGACGAAGAACCAAAGAAGGAAGTAACTGAAGATGAAACAGAAGACGATGAGGCAAAGGTCGAGGAAGAAGCAGAAACTGAAAAAACACCAAAAACTAAAAAAATAAGCAAAACAGTTTGGGATTGGGAATTGATGAATGACAGTAAGCCAATTTGGACACGTAAGCCTGCAGAAGTCACACAAGAAGAATATGATGCATTCTATAAGAGCTTAACAAAAGACACAGCCGAACCATTACTTCAAACACATTTCATTGCTGAAGGTGAAGTTACATTTAAGTCACTCCTTTTTGTTCCTAAAGTTCAACCATCAGAAAGTTTCAACAAATATGGATCCAAGTCTGATAATATTAAATTGTATGTCCGTCGTGTCTTCATTACTGATGAATTCAATGATATGATGCCAAATTACTTAGGCTTTATTCGTGGTGTTGTCGATTCCGATGATTTGCCATTGAATGTATCGCGTGAGACATTACAACAACACAAACTTATTAAAGTCATTAAGAAGAAATTAGTAAGAAAGGCACTTGATATGTTAAAGAAATTAGAAGGTGAAGAATACAACAAATTCTGGAAAGAATATTCAACAAACATTAAGCTTGGTGTTATGGAAGATTCAAGTAATCGTGCACGTCTTGCTAAATTATTACGTTTCCAATCATCAAACACAAAGGATGGAAAGATGACAAGCTTAACAGATTACGCAAGTCGCATGAAGCCAAAACAAGACTGGATCTATTATATTGCTGCTTCATCAAGAGCTGAAGCTGATAAATCACCATTTATTGAACGTTTAGTTGCTCGTGGATATGAAGTATTATTCTTAGTCGAAGCTGTTGATGAATATTGTATCTCAGCATTGCCAGAATTTGACGGTAAGAAATTCCAAAATGTCGCAAAGGAAGGATTCACACTACCAGAATCTGAGGAAGCTAAAATTAAATTTGACGAATTACAAAGCAAATTCGAACCTTTGGCTAAATGGTTCTCAGATGTTGGACTTAAAGATAAAATCACCAAAGCTATTGTCTCAGAGAAATTAACAAACACCCCATGTGTACTCGTTGCTTCAATGTTTGGCTGGACTGGTAATATGGAAAGATTAGCTATGTCTAATGCACACAAAAAGGCTAATGATGCATCACAGTCTTATTATCTTAATCAAAAGAAAGCTCTCGAATTTAATCCACGTCATCCTGTCATTAGAGAATTATTGAGAAAAATCGATGCTGATCCACAAGACACAAGAGCTAAGGAAATTGCTGAGCTTTTATTAGACACTGCCGTTTTGAGATCAGGCTATATGTTACAAGAAACTAGCCAATTTGCTGACAGCATTGATAGACTTATGAGAACATCATTAAATGTTGAACATGAGGAATTCGATCCTGAATTCGAGGAATTCCCAGAAGCAACACAAACAACAGAGGAGACAGAAACAGAACAGACTGACGAAGAGGAAATTGATGGAGATTTAGATGAGCACGACGAACTTTAAAAGAATTAATTAAAAACTTTAGTTTAGGTTATTGTAAATTTCCTGTTTTCCTTTCCATTTTTCTGCAATGTTTATTTTGTGGATCGTACTATATCATGATTAAGTTAATTCAAGCATTTTTATAAAAATTAATTAATTTTTCAATCATAAAAAAGTAGTCAAAGATGAATAAAAAGTTCATTCCTTAAAAATAATTAATATCTTGTTGTTCTAGTTATTTTTGGATGTATCTGTATTTATACAGAACTACATTGATCTTCAAATTTGATAAATTTCATGTTTACATACGTGTTAATAGCTACTTCGTGTGCCACATACAGCTGTTTTAGTTTTGTAAAATTAGTATCTAATCTCCCAAAATTATCAAATTATTAACCGATAGATAATATACGAATTTGAACTTGAGCATAACGGTTCAAAATAATTTAAAATTTTGATCAACTTTTGGAGGGAAAATCTTAAGTTAAAAAAGTCAACAATTTATTATTGTGTTAATTTAACTAATTTAAAAGGCATTTATAATGGGAATTCAAGGACTAGCAAAGTTGATAGCTGATGTAGCACCACATGCAATCAAAGAGACTGAAATTAAGAACTACTTTGGAAGGAAAATTGCGATTGATGCAAGTAAGTTGTAAAACATTTTTTTGACAGCATAATATATCATTAAAGATTCATGAATTACTTAGGTATGTCGCTGTACCAGTTCCTGATTGCTGTTAGAGCCGAAGGAGCACAACTGACGGATGCAAATGGTGAAACAACATCACATTTAATGGGTATTTTCTATCGTACAATTCGACTTTTGGACAACGGAATCAAGCCTGTCTATGTTTTTGATGGAAAACCACCAGATATGAAAAGTGGAGAGTTAAACAAACGTGCTGAACGTCGTGAAGAAGCACAAAAGGCTTTAGATAAAGCCACAGAAGCTGGTGATCAAGCAGAAATGGACAAAATGAATCGTCGTCTTGTTAAAGTCACAAAAGAACACAATAACGAAGCAAAGGAACTGCTTAAATTAATGGGTGTTCCATATATTGATGCTGCATCGGAAGCAGAAGCTCAATGTTCAGCAATGGTTAAGGCTGGCAAAGTTTTTGGTGTTGCAACTGAGGATATGGATGCTTTAACTTTTGGTGCCAATGTCCTTCTTCGTCACATGACATTTAGTGAGGCACGAAAGATGCCAGTTCAGGAAATTCATTATGAAAAGGTTTTGAAAGGATTGGAATTAGAAAGAGATGAATTTATTGACTTGTGTATTCTCATGGGATGTGATTATTGTGATACAATTCGTGGCATTGGACCTAAAAGAGCAATAGAGCTAATCCAAAAGTACAAATCAATTGAGAAAATTGTTGATAATATTGACAAGAAAAAGTATGAAGTTCCTGAAGATTGGAATTACGAGAGAGCTCGAGAATTATTTAAGGAACCAGAAATCACTGATGTCGAAACAATTGATCTAAAATGGACAGCACCAGATGAAGATGGTCTTGTGAAATATTTATGTGGTGATAAGCAGTTCAATGAAGATCGAGTCCGTTCAGGAGCGCAAAAAATTTCAAAGTCACTTAAAACAGCTACACAAGGACGACTGGACAGTTTCTTTAAAGTATTATCATCAACAACTACAACGACTGGACCTGCTAAGCGTAAAGTTGATGATAAGAAGAATGGACCTAATAATAAGAAGGCAAAAGGTGGTGGACGTAAACCAAAATAAATCTCATTAAGTAATGTATTCATTTTTAAAGTTTTGCTCTCAAATAAAATAACTTAATTCAAATGTTTGATTTTTTCAAAAAATTCAATAATTTTGGTACCAAGTCAAATATTAAACTTTAATTTTTCAGCAGTTCATTTAATTTCAGTTTATTTCTCAGGTTCAAAATTTCAAAAAGCTGTTATAATTTTATTGATTTATATATTTAATACACATGTGTAATTCCACGAGTAAAGGGAACTGAGAAAAAGCAAGTTGTAATATTTTTCCACTTGTAGCAATTTGAATTTTTTTTTTACCGTTACAAATTTTCAAAAGATTCAAACTAATTTTCATTGCCTTCATTATTATTACACAAAATTATGATGTTAACATGAAATTATTCTTAATAATACATAAATTTAACGGAAATTCAAAATTCAAATTTTGTGTATTTTGTTGGTTTTGGAAAAAGCGCTGAAAACTTAACCGATTAACGCAGTATTTTTTAATTTTCTCTGTGAATAAAGCATTTAAGAACAAAAAAAGTGTACAAATAAGTAGAAAACGTGAATATTTATGGCTTAAAAATATACTTGAGCACAAAAAATGGTTTTTTGAAGACTTTTTTAAGGATAAAAGAAGCGAAATTTTCGTAAACTTAACCGATTAACGATGAAAAAACTGAATTATTTCAGGAAATAGAATTAAAAAATAGAATAAATTTTTAAAAGAACGGAAAAAGGTGTTATTTTAAGAGTATTTTGATCAAAAAGAATTTTACATGCATTTTTTCACTCATGGAATTGTCCTATGATCAAAACCAAAAATGCTTTAAATTGCATATTAAAACATATCTGGGTATTATAAATGATAAAAAAATGCTAGTATAGATATAAAATTGATATTTTTTTGTATATAGCCTACTATGATCAAAACCAAAAATGCTTTAAATTGCATATTAAAACATATCTGGATATTATAAATGATAAAGAATGCTAATATAGATATAAAATTGATATTTTTTTGTAAATAGCCTACTATGATCAAAACCAAAAATGCTTTAAATTGCATATTATAAATGATAAAAAATGCTAATAAAGGTATAAAATTGATATTTTTTTGAAAATAGCCTACTATGATCAAAACCAAAAATGCTTTAAATTGCATATTAAAATATATCTGGGTATTATAAATGATAAAGAATGCTAATAAAGATATAAAATTGATATTTTTTTGTAAATAGCCTGCTATGATCAAAACCAAAAATGCTTTAAATTGCATATTAAAACATATCTGGGTATTATAAATGATAAAAAATGCTAATATAGATATAAAATTGATATTTTTTTGAAAATAGCCTACTATGATCAAAACCAAAAATGCTTTAAATCGCATATTAAAATATATCTGGGTATTATAAATGATAAAGAATGCTAATAAAGATATAAAATTGATATTTTTTTGTAAATAGCCTGCTATGATCAAAACCAAAAATGCTTTAAATTGCATATTAAAACATATCTGGGTATTATAAATGATAAAAAATGCTAATATAGATATAAAATTGATATTTTTTTGAAAATAGCCTACTATGATCAAAACCAAAAATGCTTTAAATCGCATATTAAAATATATCTGGGTATTATAAATGATAAAGAATGCTAATAAAGATATAAAATTGATATTTTTTTGTAAATAGCCTGCTATGATCAAAACCAAAAATGCTTTAAATCGCATATTAAAATATATCTGGGTATTATAAATGATAAAGAATGCTAATAAAGATATAAAATTGATATTTTTTTCGAAATAGCCTACTATGATCAAAACCAAAAATGCTTTAAATTGCATATTAAAACATATCTGGGTAATTTAAATGATAAAGAATGCTTATATAGATATAAAATTGATATTTTTTTGAAAATAGCCTACTATGATCAAAACCAAAAATGCTTTAAATCGCATATTAAAATATATCTGGGTATTATAAATGATAAAGAATGCTAATAAAGATATAAAATTGATATTTTTTTGTAAATAGCCTGCTATGATCAAAACCAAAAATGCTTTAAATTGCATATTAAAACATATCTGGGTATTATAAATGATAAAAAAATGCTAAAATAGATATAAAATTGATATTTTTTTGTATATAGCCTACTATGATCAAAACCAAAAATGCTTTAAATTGCATATTAAAACATATCTGGATATTATAAATGATAAAGAATGCTAATATAGATATAAAATTGATATTTTTTTGTAAATAGCCTACTATGATCAAAACCAAAAATGCTTTAAATTGCATATTATAAATGATAAAAAATGCTAATAAAGGTATAAAATTGATATTTTTTTGAAAATAGCCTACTATGATCAAAACCAAAAATGCTTTAAATTGCATATTAAAATATATCTGGGTATTATAAATGATAAAGAATGCTAATAAAGATATAAAATTGATATTTTTTTGTAAATAGCCTGCTATGATCAAAACCAAAAATGCTTTAAATTGCATATTAAAACATATCTGGGTATTATAAATGATAAAAAATGCTAATATAGATATAAAATTGATATTTTTTTGAAAATAGCCTACTATGATCAAAACCAAAAATGCTTTAAATCGCATATTAAAATATATCTGGGTATTATAAATGATAAAGAATGCTAATAAAGATATAAAATTGATATTTTTTTGTAAATAGCCTGCTATGATCAAAACCAAAAATGCTTTAAATTGCATATTAAAACATATCTGGGTATTATAAATGATAAAAAATGCTAATATAGATATAAAATTGATATTTTTTTGAAAATAGCCTACTATGATCAAAACCAAAAATGCTTTAAATCGCATATTAAAATATATCTGGGTATTATAAATGATAAAGAATGCTAATAAAGATATAAAATTGATATTTTTTTGTAAATAGCCTGCTATGATCAAAACCAAAAATGCTTTAAATCGCATATTAAAATATATCTGGGTATTATAAATGATAAAGAATGCTAATAAAGATATAAAATTGATATTTTTTTCGAAATAGCCTACTATGATCAAAACCAAAAATGCTTTAAATTGCATATTAAAACATATCTGGGTAATTTAAATGATAAAGAATGCTTATATAGATATAAAATTGATATTTTTTTGAAAATAGCCTACTATGATCAAAACCAAAAATGCTTTAAATCGCATATTAAAATATATCTGGGTATTATAAATGATAAAGAATGCTAATAAAGATATAAAATTGATATTTTTTTGTAAATAGCCTGCTATGATCAAAACCAAAAATGCTTTAAATTGCATATTAAAACATATCTGGGTATTATAAATGATAAAAAAATGCTAAAATAGATATAAAATTGATATTTTTTTGTATATAGCCTACTATGATCAAAACCAAAAATTCTTTAAATTGCATATTAAAACATATCTGGGTATTATAAATGATAAAAAATGCTAATAAAGGTATAAAATTGATATTTTTTTCGAAATAGCCTACTATGATCAAAACCAAAAATGCTTTAAATTGCATTTTAAAACATATCTGGGTATTATAAATGATAAAGAATGCTAATATAGATATAAAATTAATATTTTTTTGAAAATAGGCTACTATGATCAAAACCAAAAATGCTTTAAATCGCATATTAAAATATATCTGGGTATTATAAATGATAAAGAATGCTAATAAAGATATAAAATTGATATTTTTTTGAAAATAGCCTACTATGATCAAAACCAAAAATGCTTTAAATTGCATATTAAAATATATCTGGGTATTATAAATGATAAAGAATGCTAATAAAGATATAAAATTGATATTTTTTTGTAAATAGCCTGCTATGATCAAAACCAAAAATGCTTTAAATTGCATATTAAAACATATCTGGGTATTATAAATGATAAAAAAATGCTAAAATAGATATAAAATTGATATTTTTTTGTATATAGCCTACTATGATCAAAACCAAAAATTCTTTAAATTGCATATTAAAACATATCTGGGTATTATAAATGATAAAAAATGCTAATAAAGGTATAAAATTGATATCTTTTTGAAAATAGCCTACTTTGATCAAAACCAAAAATGCTTTAAATTGCATATTAAAACATATCTGGGTATTATAAATGATAAAGAATGCTAATATAGATATAAAATTGATATTTTTTTGTATATAGGCTACTATGATCAAAACCAAAAATGCTTTAAATTGCAAACTAAAACATATCTGGATATTATAAATGATAAAGAATGCTAATATAGATATAAAATTAATATTTTTTTGAAAAAAGCCTACTATGATCAAAACCAAAAATGCTTTAAATTGCATTTTAAAACATATCTGGGTATTATAAATGATAAAAAATGCTAATATAGATATAAAATTGATATTTTTTTGTAAATAGCCTACTATGATCAAAACCAAAAATGCTTTAAATTGCATATTAAAACCTATCTGGGTATTATAAATGATAAAAAATGCTAATATAGATATAAAATTGATATTTTTTTGTAAATAGCCTACTTTGATCAAAACCAAAAATGCTTTAAATTGCATATTAAAACATATCTGGGTATTATAAATGATAAAGAATGCTAATATAGATATAAAATTGATATTTTTGTGTATATAGGCTACTATGATCAAAACCAAAAATGCTTTAAATTGCAAACTAAAACATATCTGGATATTATAAATGATAAAGAATGCTAATATAGATATAAAATTAATATTTTTTTGAAAAAAGCCTACTATGATCAAAACCAAAAATGCTTTAAATTGCATTTTAAAACATATCTGGGTATTATAAATGATAAAGAACGCTTAAATAGATATAAAATTGATATTTTTTGAAAATAGCCTACTATGATCAAAACCAAAAATGCTTTAAATTGCATTGTAAAACATATGTGGGTATTATAAATGATAAAGAATGCTAATATAGATATAAAATTGATATTTTTTTGAAAATAGCCTACTATGATCAAAACCAAAAATGCTTTAAATTGCATTGTAAAACATATCTGGGTATTATAAATGATAAAGAATGCTTATATAGATATAAAATTGATATTTTTTGAAATACCCTACTATGATCAAAACCAAAAATGCTTTAAATTGCATTTTAAAACATATCTGGGTATTATAAATGATAAAGAATGCTTATATAGATATAAAATTGATATTTTTTGAAAATAGCCTACTATGATCAAAACCAAAAATGCTTTAAATTGCATATTCAAACATATGTGGGTATTATAAATGATAAAGAATGCTTATATAGATATAAAATTGATATTTTTTGAAAAAAGCCTGCTATGATCAAAACAAAAATGCTTTAAATTGCATTTTAAAACATATCTGGGTATTATAAATGATAAAGAATGCTAATATAGATATAAAATTGATATCTTTTTGAAAATAGCCTACTATGATCAAAACCAAAAATGCTTTAAATTGCATATTAAAACATATCTGGGTATTATAAATGATAAAGAATGCTAATATAGATATAAAATTGATATTTTTTTGAAAAAAGCCTACTATGATCAAAACCAAAAATGCTTTAAATTGCATATTAAAACATATCTGGGTATTATAAATGATAAAGAATGCTAATATAGATCTAAAATTGATATTTTTTTAAAAATAGCCTACTATGATAAAAACCAAAAATGCTTTAAATTGCATTTTAAAACATATCTGGGTATTATAAATGATAAAGAATGCTAATATAGATATAAAATTGATATTTTTTTGAAAATAGCCTACTATGATCAAAACCAAAAATGCTTTAAATTGTATATTAAAACATATCTGGGTATTATAAGTGATAAAGAATGCTAATATAGATATAAAATTGATATTTTTGGAAAATAGCCTACTATGATCAAAACCAAAAATGCTTTAAATTGTATATTAAAACATATCTGGGTATTATAAGTGATAAAGAATGCTAATATAGATATAAAATTGATATTTTTGGAAAATAGCCTACTATGATCAAAACCAAAAATGCTTTAAATTGTATATTAAAACATATCTGGGTATTATAAGTGATAAAGAATGCTAATATAGATATAAAATTGATATTTTTGGAAAATAGCCTACTATGATCAAAACCAAAAATGCTTTAAATTGTATATTAAAACATATCTTGGTATTATAAATGATAAAAAATGCTAATATAGATATAAAATTGATATTTTTTTGTAAATAGCCTACTATGATCAAAACCAAAAATGCTTTAAATTGCATATTAAAACATATCTAGGTATTATAAATGATAAAGAATGCTAATATAGATATAAAATTGATATTTTTTTGAAAATAGCCTGCTATGATCAAAACCAAAAATGCTTTAAATTGCATATGAAAACTTATCTTGGTATTATAAATGATAAAGAATGCTAATATAGATATAAAATTGATTTTTTTTTGTATATAGCCTACTATGATCAAAACCAAAAATGCTTTAAATTGCATATTAAAACATATCTGGGTATTATAAATGATAAAAAATGCTAATATAGATATAAAATTGATATTTTTTTGAAAATAGCCTACTATGATCAAAACTAAAAATGCTTTAAATTGCATATTAAAACATATCTGGGTATTATAAATGATAAAAAATGCTAATATAGATATAAAATTGATATTTTTTTGAAAATAGCCTACTATGATCAAAACCAAAAATGCTTTAAATTGCATATTAAAACATATCTGGGTATTATAAATGATAAAAAATGCTAATATAGATATAAAATTGATATTTTTTTGAAAATAGCCTACTATGATCAAAACCAAAAATGCTTTAAATTGCATTTTAAAACATATCTGGGTATTATAAATGATAAAGAATGCTTATATAGATATAAAATTAATATTTTTTTGAAAATAGCCTACTATGATCGAAACCAAATATGCTTTAAATTGCATTGTAAAACATATCTGGGTATTATAAATGATAAAGAATGCTTATATAGATATAAAATTGATATTTTTTTAAAAATAGCCTACTATGATCAAATCCAAAAATGCTTTAAATTGCATATTAAAACATATCTTGGTATTATAAATGATAAAGAATGCTAATATAGATATAAAATTGATATTTTTTTTGAAATAGCTTACTATGAACAAAACCAAAAATGCTTTAAATTGCATATTAAAACATATCTTGGTGTTATAAATGATAAAGAATGCTAATATAGATATAAAATTGTTATTTTTTTGAAAATAGCCTACTATGATCAAAACCAAAAATGCTTTAAATTGCATATTAAAACATATCTTGGTATTATAAATGATAAAGAATGCTAATATAGATATAAAATTGATATTTTTTTGTAAATAGCCTACTATGATCAAATCCAAAAATGCTTTAAATTGCATATTAAAACATATCTGGGTATTATAAATGATAAAGAATGCTAATATAGATATAAAATTGTTATTTTTTTGAAAATAGCCTACTATGATCAAAACCAAAAATGCTTTAAATTGCATATTAAAACATATCTTGGTATTATAAATGATAAAAAATGATAATATAGATATAAAATTGTTATTTTTTTGAAAATAGCCTTCTATGATCAAAACCAAAAATGCTTTAAATTGCATATTAAAACATATCTGGGTATTATAAATGATAAAGAATGCTAATATAGATATAAAATTGATATTTTTTTGTAAATAGCCTACATGATCAAAACCAAAAATGCTTTAAATTGCATATTAAAACATATCTGGGTATTATAAATGATAAAAAATGCTAATATAGATATAAAATTGATATTTTTTTCGAAATAGCCTACTATGATCAAAACCAAAAATGATTTAAATTGCATATTAAAACATATCTTGGTATTATAAATGATAAAGAATGCTAATATAGATATAAAATTGATATTTTTTTGTAAATAGCCTACATGATCAAAACCAAAAATGCTTTAAATTGCATATTAAAACATATCTTGGTATTATAAATGATAAAGAATGCTAATATAGATATAAAATTGATATTTTTTTGTAAATAGCCTACTATGATCAAAACCAAAAATGCTTTAAATTGCATATTAAAACATATCTTGGTATTATAAATGATAAAGAATGCTAATATAGATATAAAATTGATATTTTTTTGTAAATAGCCTACTATGATCAAAACCAAAAATGCTTTAAATTGCATATTAAAATATATCTGGGTATTATAAATGATAAAGAATGCTAATATAGATATAAAATTGATTTTTTTTTGTATATAGCCTACTATGATCAAAACCAAAAATGCTTTAAATTGCATATTAAAACATATCTGGGTATTATAAATGATAAAGAATGCTAATATAGATATAAAAAATTGTTATTTTTTTGAAAATAGCCTACTATGATCAAAACCAAAAATGCTTTAAATTGCATATTAAAACATATCTTGGTATTATAAATGATAAAGAATGCTAATATAGATATAAAATTGATATTTTTTTGTAAATAGCCTACTATGATCAAAACCAAAAACGCTTTAAATTGCATATTAAAATATATCTGGGTATTATAAATGATAAAGAATGCTAATATAGATATAAAATTGATATTTTTTTGAAAATAGCCTGCTATGATCAAAACCAAAAATGCTTTAAATTGCATATTAAAATATATCTGGGTATTATAAATGATTAAGAATGCTAATATAGATATAAAATTGATATTTTTTGGAAAATAGCCTACTATGATCAAAACCAAAAATGCTTTAAATTGCATATTAAAATATATCTGGGTATTATAAATGATAAAGAATGCTAATATAGATATAAAATTGATATATTTTTCGAAATAGCCTGCTATGATCAAAACCAAAAATGCTTTAAATTGCATATTAAAATATATCTGGGTATTATAAATGATTAAAAATGCTAATATAGATATAAAATTGATATTTTTTGGAAAATAGCCTACTATGATCAAAACCAAAAATGCTTTAAATTGCATATTAAAACATATCTGGGTAATTTAAATGATAAAGAATGCTAATATAGATATAAAATTGTTATTTTTTTGAAAATAGCCTACTATGATCAAAACCAAAAATGCTTTAAATTGCATATTAAAATATATCTGGGTATTTTAAATGATTAAGAATGCTAATATAGATATAAAATTGATATTTTTTGGAAAATAGCCTACTATGATCAAAACCAAAAATGCTTTAAATTTCATATTAAAATATATCTGGGTATTATAAATGATAAAGAATGCTAAGATTGATATAAAAAACGGTTAAAAAAACTTTTTTTAAAAACTCGCTTTTATCAAAAAGAACTAAAAACCAAAAAGATGAAAATAAAATAAGATCACACTTTTAGCAAACTTTTAGCGAATCAGTATTTTAAAATTTTCTTGTGATATCTAGAAATGTAACATAAATTTTTTCAAAATATTGTGATTAAGTTCAAGAACACAATGACTCTAAAAGCGTGGGGCTTTGAGATTTGACGCTTCTTTTACTTTAGAACTTAGCTGAACTATGAAATTCATCTTTAAATTACGCCCCACGCTTTTAGAGTCATTGTGTTCTTGGAATTTATCACAATATTTTGAAAAAATTTATGTTACATTTCTAGATGTCACAAGAAAATTTTAAAATCCTGATTCGCTAAAAGTGTGATCTTATTTTATTTTCAACTTTTTGTTTTTAATTCTTTTTGATAAAAGCGTGTTTTTAAAAAAAGTTTTTTTAGCCGTTTTTTTTTATTAATTAAAAGAATCAAATGATCCAAAGGCTCAGTACCTTAAAAGTTAATAATTTGAACAGCTAGTTTCTGAATCTCGTCTTCAATGTCTTTAATTTTTACAGCATCATATGTTCGGTTTCTTTCCAGTCTCTTACTACTGAACAAGACTTCTAATTCCTTCAATCCATCAATATTCGGAATTTCAATGACTACAAGCAGAATTAATGAATTTAATTAAGCATTTAGTTTGCGATTTGTTATTTACAATGTTCGGTTTCAAGCTCTTCTCTATCTTCTACTTGATCATTCTTTGGTTCTTCTATTTGATCATTTAGCTCCACATCCTCACTATCTTCATCATCAGATGTTTGCATGAAACAAGCTAGGATTTTCTTTATTCCTTCCTCCCAAACATCAGGTTTTAGACCTTAAAAATTAGTTTTTATGAACGTTATTTATATCATTTAGGAAAGATTAATTAAGCTACATTGACATTTGACTCCATTCTTCTTCATGCTGATTGTAAAACTGATTTCTTTCAAATTTCTTGCATAATATACTTCATATTCTGGTGTTATGAGCATGTACTTTGACTTCTTATGTAGCTTACAGCTAAAGTATGCAATGAATATTTCATCAAATTGTTCAGTCTTTAGGTGTCCTACATCAACCCCAATTTTTTTAATTATATTAGCAATATCATGCTTATCCCATCGATACAACTCTGATGCATTGATCTCTTCAGGCTTAAATGTATATCTACAGATGTCTTCATTGAAAATACGACGCATTTTATGCGATATTCAATTAATTAAGTCACAACAAGATTTAACAAGCACTTTGACACAAATATTAAGGAGTTTTAAATTTCATTTCAGTTCAGTTTATTGTTATTTAACGCAAATCAAAGTTCAATTTCATTCAAATATCAAAAGTTCGTTACATTTTTTGAACTTACTGGAAATGCTAATCTATTTAAAACTCAAAAGTTTGTTAAATTTGAAATATTTTTATTGTTCTATAAATTACAAAATATTGAGTCTATCAATCTAAACCAGGCACTCTATACAAGAATTCACCATCATCAGAATAAAAGCAGTCATTAACTTTGTAAATTTTTCCTTTTCGCCATTCTTTTTTGGGAATTCTTATCTTTTCTTGTATTTTAAGCTTATCCAATAGCTTCTCATTATTAGTTAAAGAAATGAAATTATTTTCCTCAAATGTCTTAAACTTAATATTTGAAAGATCCTTATCTACTGTCTTTACTTCATTAAGCATAACTTGCTCGTTGATTTGAGGATTTTTCTCCTGCAGATCCGCTAATGTAATACTTTCTGATGAGAATCTTTTATTACCGTGCATCATAAATGTATTGTCGTCATGATCTGGCCTATGCTTTGGCATTCTTAATTCAGTGGATTCAATTTGTTTTACTTCATGCTGCTCATCATTATATTTGCTACAGCTTGTTACAATACTTAAAAATTCATTACTTTTTGGCCTCGGGAATTCAACTCCTAATCTTTTATTTGGTGCTCGTTCTGCAAGCTTATTAATGTCTCTAAATGCAAATTTCTTTAAATGCTGTGCTAGCATTGGATCTATCTCTAATTTCCCTTCATTGAATTCGTTCCAATTTCTCTTTACTGATTCATCGTGCCTGAATATTCTATTCGTATCTTTTGGAATCCACTTTGATCTAATGATTTGACTTATTGCGTATGGATCAGCAGGAAATGACTCTAAAGTAGAGGATAATGTGATACAAGAAATTCATTAAAAAACGTTTCCAGCTTACCTGATAATTTATCAACTGTCCACTTTTCTGAATCCTCTTCATGTAGTGTCCTGATCTGTTCCTTTTCATTATAAGTCAAAAAGTTTGGACTTTTGTCCTTAAAATACTTCTTTCCTACAATCATTAACTGAACCTTTTCTTTCATTTTTCTAACATCCTTTTCATGCTGTCTATGTGTGTCTCCCAAGTTCATGAAATTTGGTTCCATTGAATCCTACAAGAATTGATTGTTGACAATCGATATTAAAGGTTTTAATTAAGTATTTACTTACAATAACTTCTGGGTCTTCATTCGCAATCATATCTTCCTTGAAATATTGTACTCTCTTATTGATTCCAGGCTCTGACTCTTCTGAACCCGGTCGTCTTCTTCGTGGTGCATAATTTCTGACAGCTGTCAATTTATTTAAATGATAAGTTACAGTACAATTGTAAAATTTTAATGTTGCTCGAAACATGATTTAAAGTTGTCAACAAAAACAAAAATTCGTATAATTTCAAACATTTTTGAACCGTTAAAGAATGGTAAGCTGCCGGTAAGTTTAAAATAATTATTTAAAGTTATTTAAGTATTAAAAAGGCAAATTGTGAATACTAATTTAATATATTTTAACGTGTTTTTTTAAATTTTAAAAATAAACTGAGCTGAAATGAACCAATGATTACTGAACAAATTTCGCAAATTAAATTTCGAATTTTAAAATACCGTTTTTAATTTAAATAGACTTTAATCTGCATGATAGATAGGTATATCTTAGGTATAGATAGATAGAATTAGATGTAGGGTTCGTTATACACGAAAAGGCACTGCGATCATAGATCTGTTGTACCATCCCTTTAGGTTCAGCTATAGAATTCCAATGTCCTTAATAAATCCCACTAAGTCCAAATAGCGCTGCTTCCTTATGCCACCTATATTGACAACATCCTCCTTGAAATGTTTATGGCGAAAAGCACATAGTGACTTACAGTCACATAGAATGTGTGCCATGGTCTCCTCAGCTGTACTACAAAACCTACAAAATTTAGAGTTACTTAAATTGAGCTTAACAAGAAAACTATTGATACTCATGTGTCCAGTCAAAGCACCAATTCTGTCACCAATATATCTTAGGTATATATCTAGTGAATAAAACTCAATAATAATAATAATATCTTGATTTAAAATTAGCCGGCTTGAAAACTCGTCGAATCGTTTTAAATCTATTATGAACGTTGATCAAAACACGTGGTGTTACATGATGAATATTTTAAAGTTTATTCAGAATTTAATTAACTGAAGTTTGACTAGTGAGATTTACATGACAACTGTCAGATCATTTAATCAAAGTTCATTCAACTAGTTTCTAATCAATTTAATGAAATTTGTAACTTGCATTCCACAGTTCAAATGAGCTTTTATCACGATTCTTCGATAAAACTATTCACATGCTGAACATTCGTCTTCACCAGAACTATGTATCTCAATCTTTCCTTTAAAATTGTTCAGAGGTCAATGGTATTAAATGGGCCTCGTCACAAAAAAATTGTACGTGAGTGACGCTTTGTTATTCTTTGATTATCTCCTTATCCTTAAAAGTGACAAATTTAAGAGTTACTTTTTTGAAAAGAGAATAAAAATCTCCATCTATTGCTGTACAATTCACTTCTTGAAACTTTATAATTACTTGAAAAAAATCACTTTAACTAAGCGTCACTCACGTACAATTTTTGGGAATTTTGCTTTATCTTCATTATTGTTTATTGATATATTACCAAATGTATTTTTTCACATCCTAAATTCAATTCTGTTCTTTTTGAGTTTATAAAAAATTTAAAATTGTTGCGTTAGCATAGGGGCTGTTCACTTATTACGTAACGCGAAAAAATGACTTCTTAGACCCCCCCCCCCTCGTAACAAAATTTGTATGAAAAAAAAAATTTCCTTGTTTGAACCGTAACAAAATCTTAGACCCCCCCCCCTCCCCCTAAAAGCATTAAGTAATAAGTGAATGGCCCCATACCAAAATGGACAAAATTAAGTTAAATTTTTTTTAACGGTTTTAATTTTTTTGAATTTTTTCTGTCGTGAGTTGTTTGTTTACAAACAAAATCAAAAATGAAATTTGAAAAGTCAGAAAAATATCACCCAATAATCATGTAAAAGCTCTTAAAATAGTCAGAACAGCTAATGTATCATACACTTTTCGTATTTAAATCATTATATATGGAATTAATAATTGAATAATTAAGAATTTTGAGAATTTAATTTTTGATGTTTTCTATGATAGTGTTAGTGAAAAATTCAAATTATTTTTTTCCGTTAAGCAAAAATCCTTAAAAAAACGTCGAGACCCAAATAATTATGCGATAAAGGTTTTTGCGTGCTTAAAGTCGTTGATCGAACAGAATAATTTTAAGTTGTGTCAGGAGACACATACTAAAAAGAAGCATACGATAGACCCTTATTTATAACCTCATGATATGGAAGAAGTATCGCGAGGGATCTGACATTAAGATCTGAGGAAAACTTTGTTATATTAAAGGAGTGTGCGGAGGTTAATATCCTATTACTTTTTTGACGTCCTTTATAAACGACCACTATGCAAGAAAAAGAAACAAAAAAAAATTTATGGTCATTAAAAAGGCATCATGATAGTTATTGTTTAAGATAGGTAGCTATACAGATTCCTTCTTACTTCGCTTGATATATGAGCTGCTGTTTTAACCAACATAAATTTCTATCGTTTTTCCTTTCACTTTAGTGGACATTTATTTTGAAGCATGTGGTGCTTTGTTCTTCATCAAAACACTGGAATTTTTTTTTTAATTGTTTACCCATGGTCGTCTCGTAGGATGCAGTAAATGCACGATGTGAAGAAAAAAAATATATTTTATTGTTATAATATAACGTCGCTTCCTCATCTAATGAATCTTGTTTGCTGTGTCTATAGACAATATCAGACAATAATTGAAATAATTTAATGCTCGTTACTTAAAAGCTCTTCTGTGCCATGCCATGCGATGTATTGATAGTTTTAAAAAAATATTGAAATTAAATTGAAAAAAAAAAGGGAAAAGAGGAAAATAAAAATTCAAATAAAGCAGAGCAAGGCATCTGCAATGACTGAATAATTTATTAAGGCAATTTTATAGCTAAATGTAATATTGCCTATGTAACATTACTCTTTTTCCGTTTCTCTTTTCATACAAATTTCCTGCTTTGCATTCTTCATTATTGTAATAAAAATATTGATAATGCTTTGCTCTCTTGCGAGTGTGCCTTAAGAGGAACGGAAAATAAAGAGGAAATAAAAAGCATGTTTTAAATATCTGTTAATAAATTGCTTGGATATTGCATTAAGCGTTTGCTATAAACTCTACATTTTAAGAAAATTAAATTAGGAGCAATATGTTATGCACTATTTGGAAGAAGGAGTGAGCATTAAAATTTAAGAATATAGCAGAGGTTATTATTGCATCGCTGATCATTTAAACTAAATAGTATTATGGAGTAAGAAGAGAAAGGGGTTGATGAAAACATGTACCTAAAGCTGATTTTTAAGGCTGCTTAATAAAAAATTGACTGTAGCTCAAAGGGTTAGCAAAATGATCCAGGAATTTCTATTGTTCTTTTCTTGAACCTGGATTGAAAAGGGATTATAGCCACATCTTGATTAAGTCAAATTTCTAATTTCAAAAATCAACTTTGATTTGAAATTTATAACTTAAAATTCATATTTTAAGAATAGTTCAACCAACGAAGGGGTCGTTCACTTATGACGTCCAGGGGGGGGGGGGACAGAAATCCATTGTTTGTTTTTGAAAAATGACCGTTTATTTCGGACGTCATAATTGAACGGCCCCTTCCTGACAAATTAATGAAAAACAAAATTTAATAGCTTGGATAGAAACAGTCAAAAGAATATAAATTTAATAACGTGATCTCGCAGCAGAAACACCACAAAAAAAAATTGCGTATTAAAATAATTTACAAGGAGATTATGTTTAAGGATTTAAAAATTCGTAATGAATCTTCTTTTTTTTTCATCAACCGTGGTTGTTAATACCCTGTGTAATTCCGCCAATATAAATCTTTTTTTTTATTTCCTTTTATTTTAACTCTTACCCTCAATGTGTTAATGCTTCAAAGGATTATTTATATCAGAAATGAGGAGAGTAAAAAAAAAATTAATAAGCCACATTTTTTTGTGAATAAATAAGAGCGTTGCTACACAGATTATTTCCGATGACAGTCAAGAACCTTTGTGTAAAACAATTTTATAATTAATTTCAACAAGTATTCATATCAGTGTCAAAAATTGCATTATTAAAAGGTAAGTCAATATAGGAATGAAACGCAATTGCACCCTTCTTATTTTCATCATAAAGCAGAAAAATATGCCAATTTATAATGGAAAAATCACCCTCATTCAGAATTTCAATTCGCAATAAATTTATAAAATGACGCTTGATATCCCTCCGGGGAAAAGTTATTTCTTATTCTCCCCCATGTTTATTACTATTTTTTTCCCTTGGATTCATATAATATTTTTTAAGTTCATTCAAACAAGTGTTTTTTGTTTGCTTGCTCGTGTGAATAAAACTGTTTTTAAAGGTATATGCTTAACTTAAACAAATTAAGGCCACGTCGAAATATATGTTAAATAAGATTTTGGAATCTTTTCTGATTTTCTGGCTCATTTTTAATTCTTAATTGAAAGAGGGGATCCCTTCGAGAGTCAATAAACAAAATCCTTTGTTCGAACTTTCATAATAATAGCAGCGTAATTATAAATTTAAAGGAGAGGGAGGAGGTAATGTAGATTTTTGGAAAGCAAAACTATAGAAGATATTTCAATGGGCTTTCTTACACGAAAACGAGTTCCCAAATGGCACATGTCGGTGACTCTGGATCAGGGGCGTAGCCAGGGGGGGGCCATAGGGGGCCCGGGCCCCCCCCCTACGAAAATCTGATAATAGTTTTATTAAGTATTTATAGAGAAGAACCAGTCAATGTAGAGGAAGTGATGAAAGAAATGTCAAAATCAGCACGAAATATTAAATTTAATGTATGAATAATGAATTAAATATTTAAACTTATGAAGAATGAATATAGATTTAAGGAAACAAAATATCGGTTTTTTAATTTTCGAAAATGGGCCCCCCCCTTAAAAATTTTCTGGCTACGCCCCTGCTCTGGAATCGTGCTGGATTAAAATCCAAGCCAGCAATATTCCAAAGTCGGCACTGACGCAAGATTTCTATTCGATTAACTGACTTGTGTATTCGAGGTTTTTTCAATCAAAACGCGACTAGTTAGAATATATAAAATTTTGTAGTAAAACTTAGAAAGTAAATCGTGACATCAAAAAATCTCTTTGTTTTGTGGATGATTTCCTTTAGTTTTGAAATGCATGAATTGATGAATTTTCAAAGTACTTTGAATAAACAAATAATAATAGCCAAAAAGGAATTGAAATTTGTCAGATTTCTTACAATATTTCACATTTTATGGCATCCTTGCTAAGTTTTCATTCATTAAAAACCATAAAAATTCGTATTTCAAACAAAAACGTCCTAATTCCCCCACCTCATCTCTCCTCTTTATTCATAATCATATTTTAAGCATAAGTATTGCTGATCATCCGTAAAAAACTGTATACTTACAGTATGAATATTAATACAATAACATTAGGGGCCTGTAATTAATACAAAGAAGCTATAATCTACTATAAATTGACAAGATCTTGTGAGCTAAAGTTTAGTATCCATTGAGGTGGCAATTAAGTTTCAAACATGCAATTTCTTAAAATATTTTTGGTAGTTCTTTTTATCAGCAGTAAGTTTTATCCAATATGTATTATATCTAAAGTTTTGAAAGTTTAAATCGCGTGGTTTAGTCATGCTAAGAAAAAAAATAAAAATTTGGAATTTTAAAATTTTTTTAAAAAATAAAAACCTTTGGAACAGGTCAACGTGATCATTGATTAAAACCTTTAAAATCGATCATTATTTCGTGGAAATTTGAAGTGAACCGTAAACCTAATTCAATAAAAAAAAAACAAATCAAATTCAAAGTAAAAATGAAAAAAAAAATATTTTTTAACTTTAATTTTACAGCATTAGCTGCAGCCACGAACACAGGGGGTAAGGACAAAAAGAAAGATGAAAAGTCGCCAAAAGAAATCGAAAATAAAGGTTCGAAAGCTGTTGCAGTAAAAGATACTAATAGCAGTGAAAGTAACGAGAAATCCAATGGAAATCCTCAAACGAACGGAGCGAAAACCAAGAGTTGCAGCAAACCAGCTGATTCCGATAGTAAAACTATTGGAAACAAAGCAAAGAGTGCAAGCAAGTCGGTTGAAAAAGCTCCCGTTAACAAAGGCAAGAGTGCTAGCAAGTCAGCACAAAAACCTACAGGTTAAATATAATTTTGTTCAAATCTTTTCCAAGATTTTTTAATTTTCCAAATTGTAATTTCGAATTTTACTGTATCCTTTACTAAATCAGGCAACAAGGGAAAGAGTGCAAGTAAATCAGGAAACAAAGCACCAGCTAATAATGGAAAGAGTTGCAGTAAATCAGGAGACAAAGCTCCAGGTAAACATAATTTGCTTAATTTTTCTGCAATTTTTCAATTTTTTAAACTACATTATCAAAATAAATTGTTTTCTCTTCTGAATTAGGTAACAAAGCAAAGAGTGCCAGTAAATCCGGAAACAAAACACCAGTAAACAAAGGAAAGAGCGCTAGCAAGTCAGCACAAAAACCTACAGGTTAAATATAATTTTGTTCAAATCTTTTCCAAGATTTTTTGATTTTCCAAATTGTAATTTCGAATTTTACTGTATCCTTTACTAAATCAGGCAACAAGGGAAAGAGTGCAAGTAAATCAGGAAACAAAGCACCAGCTAATAATGGAAAGAGTTGCAGTAAATCAGGAGACAAAGCTCCAGGTAAACATAATTTGCTTAATTTTTCTGCAATTTTTCAATTTTTTAAACTACATTATCAAAATAAATTGTTTTCTCTTCTGAATTAGGTAACAAAGCAAAGAGTGCCAGTAAATCCGGAAACAAAACACCAGTAAACAAAGGAAAGAGCGCTAGCAAGTCAGCACAAAAACCTACAGGTTAAATATAATTTTGTTCAAATCTTTTCCAAGATTTTTTGATTTTCCAAATTGTAATTTCGAATTTTACTGTATCCTTTACTAAATCAGGCAACAAGGGAAAGAGTGCAAGTAAATCAGGAAACAAAGCACCAGCTAATAATGGAAAGAGTTGCAGTAAATCAGGAGACAAAGCTCCAGGTAAACATAATTTGCTTAATTTTTCTGCAATTTTTCAATTTTTTAAACTACATTATCAAAATAAATTGTTTTCTCTTCTGAATTAGGTAACAAAGCAAAGAGTGCCAGTAAATCCGGAAACAAAACACCAGTAAACAAAGGAAAGAGCGCTAGCAAGTCAGCACAAAAACCTACAGGTTAAATATAATTTTGTTCAAATCTTTTCCAAGATTTTTTAATTTTCCAAATTGTAATTTCGAATTTTACTGTATCCTTTACTAAATCAGGCAACAAGGGAAAGAGTGCAAGTAAATCAGGAAACAAAGCACCAGCTAATAATGGAAAGAGTTGCAGTAAATCAGGAGACAAAGCTCCAGGTAAACATAATTTGCTTAATTTTTCTGCAATTTTTCAATTTTTTAAACTACATTATCAAAATAAATTGTTTTCTCTTCTGAATTAGGTAACAAAGCAAAGAGTGCCAGTAAATCCGGAAACAAAACACCAGTAAACAAAGGAAAGAGAGCTAGCAAGTCAGCACAAAAACCTACAGGTTAAATATAATTTTGTTCAAATCTTTTCCAAGATTTTTTGATTTTCCAAATTGTAATTTCGAATTTTACTGTATCCTTTACTAAATCAGGCAACAAGGGAAAGAGTGCAAGTAAATCAGGAAACAAAGCACCAGCTAATAATGGAAAGAGTTGCAGTAAATCAGGAGACAAAGCTCCAGGTAAACATAATTTGCTTAATTTTTCTGTAATTTTTCAATTTTTTAAACTACATTATCAAAATAAATTGTTTTCTCTTCTGAATTAGGCAACAAAGTAAAGAGTGCCAGTAAATCCGGAAACAAAACACCAGTAAACAAAGGAAAGAGCGCTAGCAAGTCAGCACAAAAACCTACAGGTTAAATATAATTTTGTTCAAATCTTTTCCAAGATTTTTTAATTTTCCAAATTGTAATTTCGAATTTTACTGTATCCTTTACTAAATCAGGCAACAAGGGAAAGAGTGCAAGTAAATCAGGAAACAAAGCACCAGCTAATAATGGAAAGAGTTGCAGTAAATCAGGAGACAAAGCTCCAGGTAAACACAATTTGCTTAATTTTTCTGCAATTTTTCAATTTTTTAAACTACATTATCAAAATAAATTGTTTTCTCTTCTGAATTAGGTAAGAAAGCAAAGAGTGCCAGTAAATCCGGAAACAAAACACCAGTAAACAAAGGAAAGAGCGCTAGCAAGTCAGCACAAAAACCTACAGGTTAAATATAATTTTGTTCAAATCTTTTCCAAGATTTTTTAATTTTCCAAGTTGTAATTTCGAATTTTACTGTATCCTTTACTAAATCAGGCAACAAGGGAAAGAGTGCAAGTAAATCAGGAAACAAAGCACCAGCTAATAATGGAAAGAGTTGCAGCAAATCAGGAGACAAAGCTCCAGGTAAACATAATTTGCTCAATTTTTCTGTAATTTTTCAATTTTTTAAACTACATTATCAAAATAAATTGTTTTCTCTTCTGAATTAGGCAACAAAGTAAAGAGTGCCAGTAAATCCGGAAACAAAACACCAGTAAACAAAGGAAAGAGCGCTAGCAAGTCAGCACAAAAACCTACAGGTTAAATATAATTTTGTTCAAATCTTTTCCAAGATTTTTTAATTTTCCAAATTGTAATTTCGAATTTTACTGTATCCTTTACTAAATCAGGCAACAAGGGAAAGAGTGCAAGTAAATCAGGAGACAAAGCTCCAGGTAAACATAATTTGCTTAATTTTTCTGCAATTTTTCAATTTTTTAAACTACATTATCAAAATAAATTGTTTTCTCTTCTGAATTAGGTAACAAAGCAAAGAGTGCCAGTAAATCCGGAAACAAAACACCAGTAAACAAAGGAAAGAGCGCTAGCAAGTCAGCACAAAAACCTACAGGTTAAATATAATTTTGTTCAAATCTTTTCCAAGATTTTTTGATTTTCCAAATTGTAATTTCGAATTTTACTGTATCCTTTACTAAATCAGGCAACAAGGGAAAGAGTGCAAGTAAATCAGGAAACAAAGCACCAGCTAATAATAAAAAGAGTTGCAGTAAATCAGGAGACAAAGCTCCAGGTAAACATAATTTGCTTAATTTTTCTGCAATTTTTCAATTTTTTAAACTACATTATCAAAATAAATTGTTTTCTCTTCTGAATTAGGCAACAAAGTAAAGAGTGCCAGTAAATCCGGAAACAAAACACCAGTAAACAAAGGAAAGAGCGCTAGCAAGTCAGCACAAAAACCTACAGGTTAAATATAATTTTGTTCAAATCTTTTCCAAGATTTTTTAATTTTCCAAATTGTAATTTCGAATTTTACTGTATCCTTTACTAAATCAGGCAACAAGGGTAAGAGTGCCAGTAAATCAGGAAACAAAGCACCAGCTAATAATGGAAAGAGTTGCAGTAAATCAGGAAACAAGGGCAAGAGTGCCAGTAAACCAGGTGAAAAAACTTGTCATATCTTACTAAAGTTCAAACCAACAATTTTTATTTTTTGAGAAATATTTTCTAAACTGATTGTATTTTTTTTTGCATTAGGCAAGCCAAAGAGTTGTAGCAAACCAGGAAACAAGGGCAAGAGTGCCAGTAAACCAGGTGAAAAAACTTTTCATATCTTACTAAAGTTCAAACCAACAATTTTCATTTTTTGAGAAAATTTTTTTTAATTTGATTGAACCTTTTTTTGTATTAGGCAAGCCAAAGAGTGCAAGCAAACCAGGAAACAAGGGCAAGAGTGCCAGTAAACCAGGTGAAAAAACTTGTCATATCTTACTAAAGTTCAAACCAACAATTTTCATTTTTTGAGAAATATTTCTTAAACTAATTGTATTTTTTTTTGTATTAGGCAAGCCAAAGAGTTGTAGCAAACCAGGAAACAAGGGCAAGAGTGCCAGTAAACCAGGTGAAAAAACTTTTCATATCTTACTAAAGTTCAAACCAACAATTTTCATTTTTTGAGAAAATTTTTTTTAATTTGATTGAACCTTTTTTTGTATTAGGCAAGCCAAAGAGTGCAAGCAAACCAGGAAACAAGGGCAAGAGTGCCAGTAAACCAGGTGAAAAAACTTGTCATATCTTACTAAAGTTCAAACCAACAATTTTCATTTTTTGAGAAATATTTTCTAAACTAATTGTATTTTTTTTTTGTATTAGGCAAGCCAAAGAGTGCAAGCAAACCAGGAAACAAGGGCAAGAGTGCCAGTCAACCAGGTGAAATAACTTTTCATATCTTACTAAAGTTCAAATCAACAATTTTAATTTTTTGAGAAATATTTCTTAAACTAATTGTATTTTTTTTTTGTATTAGGCAAGCCAAAGAGTGCAAGCAAACCAGGAAACAAGGGCAAGAGTGCCAGTAAACCAGGTGAAAAAACTTTTCATATCTTACTAAAGTTCAAACCAATAATTTTCATTTTTTGAGAAATATTTCTTAAACTAATTGTATTTTTTTTTTGCATTAGGCAAGCCAAAGAGTTGTAGCAAACCAGGAAACAAGGGCAAGAGTGCCAGTAAACCAGGTGAAAAAACTTGTCATATCTTACTAAAGTTCAAACCAACAATTTTCATTTTTTGAGAAATTTTTTTTAATTTGATTGAACCTTTTTTTGTATTAGGCAAGCCAAAGAGTGCAAGCAAACCAGGAAACAAGGGCAAGAGTGCCAGTAAACCAGGTGAAAAAACTTTTCATATCATACTAAAGTTCAAACCAATAATTTTCATTTTTTGAGAAATATTTCTTAAACTAATTGTATTTTTTTTTTTGCATTAGGCAAGCCAAAGAGTTGTAGCAAACCAGGAAACAAGGGCAAGAGTGCCAGTAAACCAGGTGAAAAAACTTGTCATATCTTACTAAAGTTCAAACCAACAATTTTCATTTTTTGAGAAATTTTTTTTTAATTTGATTGAACCTTTTTTTGTATTAGGCAAGCCAAAGAGTGCAAGCAAACCAGGAAACAAGGGCAAGAGTGCCAGTAAACCAGGTGAAAAAACTTTTCATATCTTACTAAAGTTCAAACCAATAATTTTCATTTTTTGAGAAATATTTTCTAAACTTATTGTAATTTTTTTTTGTATAAGGCAAGCCAAAGAGTGCAAGCAAACCAGGAAACAAGGGCAAGAGTGCCAGTAAACCAGGTGAAAAAACTTTTCATATCTTACTAAAGTTCAAACCAATAATTTTCATTTTTTGAGAAATATTTTCTAAACTTATTGTAATTTTTTTTTGTATAAGGCAAGCCAAAGAGTGCAAGCAAACCAGGAAACAAGGGCAAGAGTGCCAGTAAACCAGGTGAAAAAACTTTTCATATCTTACTAAAGTTCAAACCAATAATTTTCATTTTTTGAGAAATATTTTCTAAACTGATTGTAATTTTTTTTTGTATAAGGCAAGCCAAAGAGTGCAAGCAAACCAGGAAACAAGGGCAAGAGTGCCAGTAAACCAGGTGAAAAAACTTGTCATATCTTACTAAAGTTCAAACCAACAATTTTCATTTTTTGAGAAATATTTTCTAAACTAATTGTATTTTTTTTTGTATTAGGCAAGCCAAAGAGTGCAAGCAAACCAGGAAACAAGGGCAAGAGTGCCAGTCAACCAGGTGAAATAACTTTTCATATCTTACTAAAGTTCAAATCAACAATTTTAATTTTTTGAGAAATATTTCTTAAACTAATTGTATTTTTTTTTGTATTAGGCAAGCCAAAGAGTGCAAGCAAACCAGGAAACAAGAGCAAGAGTGCCAGTAAACCAGGTGAAAAAACTTTTCATATCTTACTAAAGTTCAAACCAACAATTTTCATTTTTTGAGAAAATTTTTTTTAATTTGATTGAACCTTTTTTTGTATTAGGCAAGCCAAAGAGTGCAAGCAAACCAGGAAACAAGGGCAAGAGTGCCAGTAAACCAGGTGAAAAAACTTGTCATATCTTACTAAAGTTCAAATCAACAATTTTAATTTTTTGAGAAATATTTTCTAAACTAATTGTATTTTTTTTGTATTAGGCAAACCAAAGAGTGCAAGCAAACCAGGAAACAAGGGCAAGAGTGCCAGTAAACCAGGTGAAAAAACTTTTCATATCTTACTAAAGTTCAAACCAACAATTTTCATTCTTTGAGAAATATTTTCTAAACTGATTGTATTTTTTTTTTGCATTAGGCAAGCCAAAGAGTGCAAGCAAACCAGGAAACAAGGGCAAGAGTGCCAGTAAACCAGGTGAAAAAACTTTTCATATCTTACTAAAGTTCAAACCAATAATTTTCATTTTTTGAGCAACACTTTTTAACCTGATTGTATTTTTTTGCATTAGGCAAGCCAAAGAGTGCAAGCAAACCAGGAAACAAGGGCAAGAGTGCCAGTAAACCAGGTGAAAAAACTTTTCATATCTTACTAAAGTTCAAACCAACAATTTTCATTTTTGAGAAAATTTTTTTTAATTTGATTGAAACTTTTTTTGTATTAGGCAAGCCAAAGAGTGCAAGCAAACCAGGAAACAAGGGCAAGAGTGCCAGTAAACCAGGTGAAAAAACTTTTCATATCTTACTAAAGTTCAAACCAACAATTTTTATTTTTTGAAAAATATTTTCTAAATTGATTGTATTTTTTTTTTTGCATTAGGCAAGCCAAAGAGTGCAAGCAAACCAGGAAACAAGGGCAAGAGTGCCAGTCAACCAGGTGAAATAACTTTTCATATCTTACTAAAGTTCAAATCAACAATTTTAATTTTTTGAGAAATATTTCTTAAACTAATTGTATTTTTTTTTTGTATTAGGCAAGCCAAAGAGTGCAAGCAAACCAGGAAACAAGAGCAAGAGTGCCAGTAAACTAGGTGAAAAAACTTTTCATATCTTACTAAAGTTCAAACCAATAATTTTCATTTTTTGAGAAAATTTTTTTTAATTTGATTGAACCTTTTTTTGTATTAGGCAAGCCAAAGAGTGCAAGCAAACCAGGAAACAAGGGCAAGAGTGCCAGTAAACCAGGTGAAAAAACTTTTCATATCTTACTAAAGTTCAAACCAACAATTTTCATTTTTTGAGAAATATTTTCTAAACTAATTGTATTTTTTTTTTGTATTAGGCAAACCAAAGAGTGCAAGCAAACCAGTAAACAAGGGCAAGAGTTGCAGCAAACCAGGTAAGAACTTTTTTAACTATTTGTTTAAATAATTCAAATGTTGATTACATAAACTTAGCTGAAATTTGTTTATATTTGCACATTATTAATGTTATGTGCATTTTTATTGTCAATAGGACAACCCAAAGGTGGCAAATCTAAGAGTAAATCGAATGAAAGACGTCCAGATAATCAAAAACCAGGACCATGTGGACCAAGACAAGTTTGGAACATTAGAAAGAATAAGTGCGTCTGCAAAGTTATTCAGAGATGTGCCTCTGCTGGTGCTCGTTTTGATAGAAATACATGCGAATGGGTTCGTCAGTAAGTTTCAACCAATTTGAGATTCAATAAATAACTTTAATGTAAATCATTTTGCCAAACAAATTTAGAACGACTTTAAAATTAATTCTTTAAATCATTTCTGAATTTCTTATTTTTGAAAATGAAAATGAAGCAGTTTGTATTTATAAAGTAATTTTGTTTTGATTTAATTACCTTTGTTGAAAGTAAAGAGAAATAAAGACATTTTTTAAGCATATATAGTTTTGATTACTTAATTCTGAAGATATTGATTTTTTTAAATTTCAGCTCTTTTGCTATTTTTCAATCCTTTTAAAATTGAAATTAATTTTGTTTTCTTGACTCTGTCGTGGGAGCAAATTGCAGCAGTTCCATAGTGTAAGTTGCTCAGCAGACGACCCTAGTTTAATCTCATGGAAAGTGAAGTCGGTTTTGGTTGTTTTTTTTTTCACTTTTCTAGTCATTGCAACCCAGGCAAAAAAGGATACAAAATGAAAAATTATGATAGCGATGAATAAAATTTAAGTTTCTGTTTTTAATAACATACATTACCCCTAATAAATATATTTTTAATTAAAATTGAGTTTCTTGAGAAATAAATTTATTTATTTAAGTTTAAAACATGTTTAATAAACAAAATACGCAACAAGATGCTTAAACTGTTCAAAACAACTTTTAGAACTGAAATATTGGTATTAATTATAGTGTTAATAAAAATATACTTATATTTAATGATTAGACATTTAGTCGAAGTGTGAATTATAATTGATGGCGATCCTCCATTTGAATACATTCGATTAAAGAATGATTTTTCCAACAAAGTATATTTTTAATTAGAATTAGCCAAGCTAATCAAGTGATGAAGGAATCAGCTTAGAGCATCGTCCAGAGAAATTGTTCAAACTTAGTGAAAGAACGAGCAACAATGTCAACAATGTGTTGTAAATTAGCACCACATAGAAACAGTATGTAAGTGAGGAAGAACTAGAAAAAAGATTTGAGATGCAGAATTTGATCTTAATTTACTTGGTTTTCTTAATTTTACTGCGTCAGCACTTGCCACGTTTATAATAATTTCAATATTTACATTATTGTATTCATGTTATTGATCACAATCCAGAACAAATGACTTTACAAAAAATTATTTATCTTTAAATACAAAACAGTTAAAATAACACTTAAAAACCGAAAACACATTAATGTCAACAATGATAATAAGTTTTTTTCTTCTCATATTCACCTAAAAACTTTTATCGATAATCATCTTAATCTTGTATTAAAAGTAGATTAAAATTTTAAAATAAACTCATGTAAGGTCGAATAAAAAAAAAGGATTCTAATAAAAATAAAAGCTGAACCTTATTGTTTATCACTATTTTATCGACTAGTGTCGTAGCTAGTTTTTTGTCATCCAAGCCAACAACCTTAACAAATGTTCACTTTGTTGGCTTTATTCGTACTTGTGTTCCTTTGGGCGTGGTGCTTTATACAAAGATCTAATTTCTATGCCTCTGAAATAGAGTTTATGTATGGACAGATGATTTTAGAAAAAGCAGGCTGTTATTATTCTAAATTTATTCATTTTTAATCAGCTCTGTACCAAAAAGGTTCTTACAAACAACAATTCCAATGCTTAAAATATCGATCACTTCTGTTTTTCAATAAAACAATCATTAATAGTTATAAAATGAATAAGTTTTGTTTGCTTAAGATCTGGATAAATTTCTACGGTTCAATCGATATTTGTGGACAATTATTATTGAGTTTCATTTATTATATATTTCAGCACGTGTGTACACATACTATATGCCTTTCATTATTTGATACTCTTAAATGCAAGGGGAAAGAAAAAAATCAAGAAGGAATATTTTTCTGTAGATGCTGTGTTGTCATGGTGATTCTTAGAATACAATAAAAGGTGCTAAATGAAGGAGGATGTGAGTATGAAACACACTTGAAAGCAATAATTCTGAATTAATTTTTAAAATTTTTTTTTTAGCATCTTTGAGTTATTAGCAGTAGTTTTATTTTGAGATAGAAACCTTTACCCGGCAAGGTATTCAATAATTTCTATGATCTTTTCTGGTAGTGAAGATGCACTTAAAATCTTGGATTTAAAGGTTTAATAAATTTTTTTCTAAAGACCACAGAAGAAAGTTGTATCAAAATTATTTAATCAATAAGTCAAAGAACAGCCCGACATTTAAAAAGCAATCAGAACATCGCCCACCCTCACCCTAAAATAATCACATTTAAAAGATTTTTTCCGCAGCTGCCTTTATTTCACCACGTCTAGATCTTTTCTTGGTAATCGATTTTTCCTTTACCCGTTTCCCCTATCTGATTTCAGAACCGTATATATTGTTTGTCTACTTCAAGTAGTGAATAAGGAAATAGAATCCTTATGTAAAATGCTCACATGTAGAAAAAAAAACATAAAATAAAGTAAAGTAAAAATGTGAAAGAAGTCAAAAGGAAAAAAGTGAATTTCCCTGAGGATATGCACAATATACGTTTGGAAATTTTTATCTATCAGCCAGTAACTTAATTCTGGAATTTCATTGACTCATACAAAAAAAAGGCAAACTTTTTTTTATCCTATAAATCTTTAATTCAGTGTACATAACGAAAGGTCATTTTTTTATGCTGATTGTTTTGGATAAAAACTTTTTTGAGGATATGCAAAGAAAAAAAAAATTTAATTCCCATGTGACGGTAAAAATGGCATCGTGATCGCTCATATATTTGTGGATATAGGAACGGGGTTGATAGCGAAAAATGTAATTTAAAAATACCTTTGGGCAAAAAGATTTTGACTCAGTGGAATATTTGGTGGAAGACCAGGTAAGGATGCTCATTGCTGATTTTGATGATGTAACTGAAGTGCATTATTTTTTCTGTTATTTTAAGGTTTTGACTAGCTGGAACGCTAGTGAATCAGAATTATGAGGATGGAAAGGTTGACCTCTCTCTTGGCTACGTCCCCGGATGGATTAAGGATATCATCAGTCTTAGAAACTGGCACAGTCATTTAATAGACCCTGGTTTTAACAGACAACTTACAACATTATAAGAATTTAAAAGAATTTAAATTAAATTTCAGCTGCAACCTTTTGAAAAGTCTGAAAAATACACTGAGGTTCATAAAGGTCAATTAATTAATATTCATTAAATGAACTTCAACAAAATGTTAAATCTTTATGAACTATAAAATGTTAATTTTGTAGAGAAAAAAAGATTAATTGAAGCCTGAAAAAATTATTCATCAATTTGAGAATAAATTAATTTACAGATATGCTGCTACATCTGCATGTATCTCATTATTATAAATGCGAAAGATCATAAAGTACGAAAACAATAACAACTAAAGTTATGCATATTTGGGAGAGGCTAAAAGGTTTCATAATCCATGGCATTACAAATTTATAGAACATCAACGTTCATTTCTACGTTAATTAAACTATTATCGATTTAATGAAATTTTGTGGGTCGTACCCAATTTAAATCTTCATTCCACATCCACATCAAGTTTGTGTAGATTTATGCAAATGCCTTTTCATTATTGTCCCTTTTCATAAATAAATTGACACAAATTTAATAAAACCACATTGATTTTTAGTTCCCTTTCCGTTTTTTCTTTTGCAAAGCCATAGATAATTCTACTGAATTCATCCCCAGAGAGTTCTCAAACTCAAATTGTCAGATATTTCTATTACTGTTTTGCATAACTTATGAGTTTTAATAAATTTTTGAGCCAAAGATAGAAAGAGAAAATTTTTCGGCTTTCAATTTTTGTGGTTAAAATGAAATAGTTTCAAAATGATAACGAATTGAAAATTGTCTCTGCACTCAAATGCTAAAGTTAGGAACTATGAAAATCACACAAATTCATGTAAAATATGTGTCATAAGAAATTTCCATTGAAATGAGAAAAGGAAAAGTGTGAGAAAATTTTATTTTCTAAAGCCAGAAAAAAGTTGTTTTTCGACTTCCTTCTATCTACGTGATGACTTTTGAATTAAGAATTGAAAATAATCCTTTCGCATTTGTTGGTGGAGTGTTCATGGGAGACTGTGTGAAACGTCGAATTTTTTTGTGTATTCCTGAAATAAAAGTTTTAGATTTTTATCCACAGTTGCATTCAAACCTTAAATAACAGTTAATTTTTGGATCCGAACTACTCGTTGATGACAATACCGCGTCTGGCCTACAAAAGAAGATTCAAGAAGATCCAAAAAAGATAATTATGTCATTATATCATGAGGACTAAGTGGGGATGATTGATGAGTATGTAAGATGATCCTAAGGACAGATTGATACACTACAATGCAGGAACCTCTGTTGAAAGATCAGTCTACTGATCAAAAAAAAACTATGTTTTCGTATTTGATCAGTTTCTTGCGCCACTCACTATTGCCAACGCCATCTCGTACATGATACAACACTTGTTTTGAGTAGATAAACCTAATAGTCGGTTATCTCTTTATTAAGGTTGCAGTGTCTGCTTTCGAAAGCTTTTTTATTAGTATTTATGATTAAGCAGTTTTAACCTCACATTTACTGTTACTTTACTTTTGCAGACCTCAATGTTAATTCTCAAATAAAAGACATTGCCGATTCATCTCCTCCAAAGAAGTCAAATCATATTAAAAGCCTTTTCGAAGAATAAAGCATTCAATATTCGACACAGTCACCAGATTCCTGCATTCATTCATTCAGATTCAGGCATCCTTCTGTTTGCCATGAGTAAATTAAATCCATTTCTTTTTTTTTATCACTGCATGACGATGGGATTTTGTAAGAAAAATCACTTAATGCAAGAGAAAAGAAATAGAGAACCAGAAAATGGAAATTCTATGCATTCAAGTTAAAATGAACTAAAATTTATACGTAATGGAATGAAAGAAAATAAAACTTTAAAATTCAATTTGAAAAAAGAGAAAAAGATGAGGCAAAAAAAAAGTTTCGCGTAATTCAACGTCAAGCTATTTTTAATTTTACTTTACGAATGAAAAATAAAAGTTTTTAATTTTTTGCTCGTTTTTCACTTTGCATAGCTTAATTTGTTGTGGATTTTTTTTTATTCAAATTTAAATTTAATTATGGAAGGAAGTTTGTCTAGCATAGTTTGTAATGATATAGTTTTTATCGAGATTTATAAAACAAAAATGGAAAGTGGATAAGAATTTACTGGTGGTAATGATTTAGATATCGGTCTTTTGTGGGAATCGAACCCTC